CCCCAGAACTACACGGCAGGACCTTGTCAATGACCTGAAGAGAGCTGGGACCACAGTCTCAAAGAAAACCATTAGTAACACACTACGCCGTCATGGATTAAAATCCTGCAGCGCACGCAAGGTCCCCCTGCTCAAGCAAGCGCATGTCCCATCTGAAGTTTGCCAATGACCATCTGGATGATCCAGAGGAGGAATGGGAGAAGGTCATGTGGTCTGATGAGACAAAAATAGAGCTTTTTGGTCTAAACTCCACTCGCCGTGTTTGGAGGAAGAAGAAGGATGAGTACAACCCCAAGAACACCATCCCAATCGTGAAGCATGGAGGTGGAAACATCATTCTTTGGGGATGCTTTTCTGCAAAGGGGACAGGACGACTGCACCGTATTGAGGGGAGGATGGATGGGGCCATGTATCGCGAGATATTGGCCAACAACCTCCTTCCCTCAGTAAGAGCATTGAAGATGGGTCGTGGCTGGGTCTTCCAGCATGACAACGACCCGAAACACACAGCCAGGGCAACTAAGGAGTGGCTCCGTAAGAAGCATCTCAAGGTCCTGGAGTGGCCTAGCCAGTCTCCAGACCTGAACCCAATAGAAAATCTTTGGAGGGAGCTGAAAGTCTGTATTGCCCAGCGACAGCCCCGAAACCTGAAGGATCTGGAGAAGGTCTGTATGGAGGAGTGGGCCAAAATCCCTGCTGCAGTGTGTGCAAACCTGGTCAAGACCTACAGGAAACGTATGATCTCTGTAATTGCAAACAAAGGTTTCTGTACCAAATATTAAGTTCTGCTTTTCTGATGTATCAAATACTTATGTCATGCAATAAAATGCAAATTAATTACTTAAAAATCATACAATGTGATTTTCTGGATTTTTGTTTTAGATTCCGTCTCTCACAGTTGAAGTGTACCTATGATAAAAATTACAGACCTCTACATGCTTTGTAAGTAGGAAAACCTGCAAAATCGTCAGTGTATCAAATACTTGTTCTCCCCACTGTATGTCTTAATCTCCTGTTCTTTCTTTCTTTTTAGATTTTTTCTTTTAATTTAGTTTTTTACTTTTGGATTATGTGTCTCTTGTTATTGTATTGCTAGATATTGCTGCACTGTTGAAGCTAGATTCGTAAGGATTTCGCTGCACATGCGATAACATCTGCAAAGCTGTGTACGCAACCAATAAACTTTGATTTGATTTGATCCCTGAATATAATTATTCTAATAACATCATCTAACCAACCAGGAACTAGGTGAAAATGTTATTTTTATGTTTCTTGTCAGCTTGGTTCCTACTGGTTGAAGAGGTTTACAGTCCTTTCCTGACCCCAAATCACCATCATACCCTTTTGAAGACCCTGTCACCTGGGCTGTGTTCATTGGGCACCAAATGTAAGTAAACGGAGTGAAACAGGGAGGGACTACCTTGACTTGTCCAATAAGAAACACTCATTTTGGTTTTCATTTCTGTTTTCAAATGTTTTCTGCTGCATGTGCTAATGACCACGACTCTGGATAAATGTGAAACCTGTGTTGCCTATGCTGACACTGTCCTGTAATTAAGGGAAGAAACACTGACAAAGATGTTTCCAAGTTTGAACGGATAGTAGGATAGAAGAGTGAGGAGTGGGGAGGAGGGGAGAGAGAGAGAGAGAGAGAGAAAGAGTGGGAGGGGAGGGGGGGAGAGAGAGAGAGAGAGAGAGTGGGAGGGGAGAGAGGGAGAGAGAGAGTAGGTGGTAACATGAAGCCTCCTTCAACCCTGTCAAAGGATCCAAATGGTTTGGAGTGCTTGAGTGCTTTGAGATCTGACCTACACTGCAGTGTGGCTGTCTGTCCTACTAAAGGCTATGCCTAGAGGCCATCACACAGTCTGTGAAGAAACAACCTTGGGATTTGTCACAACAGTAGCAGTAGAACCGCAGTTAATCATTGACCTGTTGCTAGTCCCAATGTTGGTGTATCAGTGTGTAAGGTTGTTGCTGCGTTTGTGTGGTTGGGTGGGTCATGAGTCACTAAAATGGCGGGTAACTGAGGCTGGGCTGGGGCACAGAGATAGATAGAGGACTCTAGTGCCCAAAAGCCAGTTTTAGCATGGGCAGTGCCATTGAGGACCAGGGGTTGGACCCGGTTCAGGGAACAGAACAGAAAAATAACCACATTTTTAGAGGAACAGAAACAGAACCGGGAACAAAAGTGATCTCAAGTGTTCAAGGAACAGAACAGTTATTTAAAAATCTTGAGAACCGATTAATAAGTTTCTTTTGAGTTCCAAGCTATTTTTTCAGTCCCACAAAAAATACCATCAAAGCTCCTATGCAAAGCACTCACTCTGTCACTCAGAAACGTCTCCTTCCAGTGTCTGCCTGCCAGCTTTTTCTAGGCTAGTTAAGGATACTATTAGTTATCATGTTTCATGTTTGGATTTATTAACTAAAAAAAGGTAAGACGTGTTTTGAATTCTGGTGCCGCTGCTTGTTATTAGCTCTGGTCCAGGGCATTGAGCCAATGTTCGGACATTCAATGTTCCTCCATATTAGCCGCTCCTCCGTAGGTAACTAGCTATAATATAATATAATAATATAATTATGTAATTCAGTGAAGTAGGAATGACAGGCCTACTACTAATATCCTAAACACATTATAATGCACATCATATCCTGATGCTAAACACTTAAATCCAAGCCTCCTCCATGTCTACCCCTGTCTCTTGCTCTCTCCCCATTTGCAAAATTTGAGTCGCATCGTGCGCCCTACACTTGTCCATCCATCAAGCATGTAAACAATTAGCTTGCCCGGTGTGGTGAGACTGATGGTTTGTCGACATTGATGGTTTGTTGACAACTGTAGCATTTTAGCTAAGCCTAACCCAGCTACGGAAGGAAGTGACTTTATGTAGTCGGTTAGGAGAACTAACACAGCAGATTAGGATAATTAATACAGCAGTATAAGATAATTAACATAGCAGGTTAGGAGAATGAGGTTACGGTTAGGAACAGGGTTAGGGTTAGGCTTAGCTAAAATGCTACAATTGTCAACAACTGTTATCCCTAACGGACAACTAGATGGGGCTGTACTAGCCACAACCATACAAACCATTAGTCTCGACAAACCATCAGTATCTTAACACCGGTCTATAGCAAGCTGCTCTATCTGCGCTGATTGGTGGAGTAATTGAATGAGCTAATTGTAAAAACTATGTTGATTTCAGGTTAAAAAAGGAACAGAAAGGAACGATATAAACCAGTACGTTTTTGGGTTCAAACCGGTTCAGAACTTTATTTTGCTGGTCGGAACAGTGGAATGGAACGAAACAAATAGTGGTTCTGTTCAGAACAAAACGATTGGAAAATAATTTTAGTTCCAACCCCTGTTGAGGACTATCACCATTTTCACCAACTGAGTGGGACTTCCTATGGCTTAAGGAAGGATCACATAATTATATCCAGGTCATCAAGAGGGATCAGGCAATTAATTATACTCATGAGAAAACATTCCATGACTGGGGTCCTCCCGAGTGGCGCAGTGCTTGAGGCATCACTGCAGACCCGGGTTCGATCCCAGGCTGTGTCACAGTCGGCCGTGACCGGGAGACCCATGAGGCGGCGCACAATTGGGTTAGGGGAGGGTTTGGCTGGCCGGGATGTCCTTGTCCCATTGTGTTCTAGTGCCTCCTTGTGGCGGGCCGGGAGCCTGCAAGCTGACTTCAGTCGCTAGGTGTATGGTGTTTCCTCTGACACATTGGTGCGGCTGGCTCACGGGTTAAGCGAGCAGTGTGGCAAGAAGCAGTGTGGCTTGGCATGGTTGTGTTTCGGAGGATGCATGGCTCTCAACCTTTGCCTCTCCCGAGTCCGTACAGGAGTTGCAGCAATGGGACAAGACTGTAACTACCAATTGGGGAGAAAAAGGGGTAAAAGTACAACAACAACATAAAACATTCCGTAACTGGAAGTGGCAGTAAATTGCTGACCTTGGCTTTAAACCTGTTCAAACAAAACACTCCAGGTGGCAGTATGAACCCTTTCAGTATGTTTACCAACTCATAGAAGTAGTAGAAAAAGAAAATTGACTACTTTAAAATGTAGATGGCTTCAGTGAAGCTCCCCATGCTCTAACGCAGGGTTTCCCAAACTCGGTCCTACCCCCCGGGTGCACGTTTTGGTTTTTTGCCCTTGCACTACACATCTGATTCAAATAACCAACTCATCATCAAGCTTTGATTATTTGAATCAGCTGTGTAGTGCTAGGACAAAAACCAAACCTTCACCCAGGGGAGGCCCTAGGACCGAGATTGGGAAACCGTACTCTAACGGATGCCATAATGGGACAGTTGCGTCTTTAACTATCGCTGGGGTGAGACAGTCCAACCTTGTGCAGAGCTGTAGGGATGGTTGACAAACACAAGAGCCACACAAAGTTCCTCAGATGCAGGCAATCCATACATTACCAGTGTATTCACAATACATTTTCACTCAGAACGAGCAAATTCTTTCCAAACTGGTTACTTTATTCAGATTGAGGTGTTTATATGAGGGTTTTTTATTCAGAATGAGCTCTTATGACTTTTATTTTATGTTTTCTTCAGTGACTCCTAGCGCTGAAACACAGACTCCTTTCTCTGATAGTGACCCAAGACAAAAATAAGCATCTTCTGCTTGGAAAGTCCACATAGTGAGTGAAGCATTCGACAAAGAGAAAAGGAGTCTACATGGATGTAACAGGATACATTAACCGGTTCACAAATTGTTATTTCAACAATAAAACCAACAAGGAACTTCTCACATTTGGCATGGAGCATTATCTATTTGTAGTCTCACATTGAAAAGAGTAGGCCCTCTAGTGGACCAGACTAGAAACTGCTGATGTTGCCTACTCGGACAGAGGTAATTTTTGCTTTTTAAACGTTTATTTTAAGAAAGAGTTTTAATTTTGGAATCAGGAGTAGTCAGAAGAACGTTAAGAAACGTTATTTGTTCGTTGTTTGTTGAAATATGTAGCAAGGGAATCAGAGAACCTGCAGAGCAAATAGCAAAGAACTCATTTACAGAATGTATACTTGAACAAACTGTATTTGGACTGACATTATGCACTTTCACAAAACATGGATTTCTAATTAATGTAATTTAAATGATGATGCAGGTCAGTTTGAATCAAGTGGTTCGTCTTGTACATGGGCCGGTTCCCCGGACACAGATTAAGCCTAGTTCTAGACTAAGAATAAGCATGTTCAAGAGAGATTCTTCATTCAAAGTAGTTTTAAATCTAGTACTAGGCTTAATCTGTGTCCAATAATTATATATGTTCAATTTAAAGTATTGCAAACACAGCTAATATCTGAGTACATTGTGAGTTATGTCAGTAACATTCACCACACTATCCAAAAACTCTTGACCAAATATGGCCAAATTGATTTATTCTTCTCCTCTCATCCCTTATGTAATATAATTCACATTAAACCTTTGTCTCCCCTATCTTCTTATGAAAGTGACATTGAAGCAGACAATGTGGTAACCATTTTGGTTCACCACAACAACATGCACATCATGTTGAGCAGAAGAAGTTCATAATAAAAACTTCACCAGAATGAGTCCAAATATACACTTCACAATATCAGATGCACACAATATCAAATAACAATTGCACACAAGCTTACCAGTGGTAGGTAGTCCAGATTCTTCAACTTCACTGTTTTTTCATAATCAATAAATTCTGCAAATAAACACACCCAATTTTTAAGTTTAAGAAACACATCCAAGTGAACCAAACTTTTATATTAATCATGAATCTATTCAATTTAACATTCATTTTTGCACACCATTGTGCTACAGTGCAACCTGCTACTGCATCCTGCTAATGTGTCCCACTAATGCGTCCCGTCTATCTATGCTGTCAATGTTTTCAACAGCATAGCTTACATTTCGGCATAGGGCCTATAGGCCCTCTAACAAATGTGTATGTGGATCAACAAAACATAACCTACACATACAGACCCTTCAGAAAGTATTCAGACCCCTTGACTTTTTCCACATTTTGTTGTGTTACAGCCTAAATTTAAAATTGATAAAATTGATATGTTTTTGTCACTGGCCTACACACAATACCCCATAATGTAAAAGTAGAATTATGTTTTTAGACATTTTAGACATTTTACAAATTATGAATAATGAAAAGCTGAAATGTCTTGAGTCAATAAGTATTCAACCCCTTTGTTATGGCAAGCATAAATAAGTTCAGGAGTAAACATTTGCTTAACAAGTGACACAATAAGTTGCATGGACTCACTCTGTGCAATAATAGTGTTTCACACGATTTTTGAATGACTACCTCATCTCTGTACCCAACACATACAATAATCTGTAAGGTCCCTCAGTCGAGCAATTAATTTAAAACACAGATTCAACCACAAAGACCAGGGATGTTTTCCAATGCCTCGCAAAGAAGGGCACGTATTGGTAGATGGATAAACATGTAAAAATAAGACATTGAATATCCCGTTGAGCATGGTGAAGTTATTCATTACACTTTGGATGGTGTATCAATATACCCAGTCATCACAAAAATACAGGCTTCCTTCCTAACTCAGTTGCCAGAGAGGAAGGAAACCGCTCAGGAAATGTCACACCGAGGCCAATGATGACTTTAAAACAGTTACAGAGTTTAATGGCTGTGATATGAGAAAACTGAGGATGGATCAACAATATTGTAGTTACTGCACAATACTAACCTAATTGACAGAATGAAAAGAAGGAAGCCTGTACAGAATAAAAACATTCCAAAACATGCATCTTGTTTGCAACAAGGCACTAAAGTAATACTGCAAAAAAATGTGGCAAAGCAATTAACTTTTTGTCCTGAATACAAAGTGTTATGTTTGGGGCAAATCCAACAACACAAGAACATGTGGAATAAGTCAAGGGGTGTGAATACTTTCTGAATGCACTTCCCCCCTCTACTCTTACGCAATGTGCATTTAATGCAAGAGAAAGACTTAAGATGTACTTTTTAAGTTGTGTTTTTCTTGACATCTGGCTCAATTCAATCAAACCTGCATTTCTATATTTACAACATCGTTTTTTCCCCCATGGTCAAATAAACTCACAAACTGGGCTTGGGTACTATATAAAACCTACAACTACAGTACTACCATGCAGTGACATTTTTAAACAAAGTGAGCACTGGGTTTGATTGAATTCTAGCCCTGATCTGCTATTAGCGCCACACATACCTCCTTTCTTCCAGAAGCAGAAGGAAAAGCGGGGGAAATCGGGCAGGAACCGGGGCTCGTCATGGGACAACGTGGCCACCCGTCCTGTGAGCAGATTAGCAGACAGGTATAGCTCCTCAATTGACTGCCCTGTGGGAGAGGGATACACAGAGAGGGCAAACACTCACTTCCTGCTGGGGAAACGTTGTGTGACTCAACCTAGTTTAAATTTAGGATCATTGTAGCTTTCACATAGCATCAATGTAGCTGGTGGGGTGAATTTGCCAAAAGTCATTAATTTACCTTGACTTCCGCCGTAAATCAACAATAGGAATTCAAGGGTTGGCTTATTCCAAGTGTATATGCAGACAACGCAATTATATACCATTTACTAACCTAAATTGAATGATGATGATCTGGCGTCTTTTCCCTATGGGTGGATGCAGTTGAATTGATTAATTTCCTACAGTAATCTTCAGGGCAATATGTTCCAAAACATACACTCATACCAGGGCGGTAAGTGCTGTTTGTTGACGAGTTGAGTGTTTCAACCTCATCTATTACAGTGAGAGAGGGAACTATGATGCCAGTTTTATTCATTCAATCTCTACATTTCATATTGATGTGTACCATTAAGTTAGGGTCAATGTTAGGGTCGGGGTAAGGGAGCTATAACACCAGTGGCTTTGTTTGGAAGGGAAGGGAAGGTTGGGGAAATATTGAACTCACTAAGCAGAAATGACACTCTCAAATTGCCCTTGTAGGATGGTGACATGGGAAGGCAGGGGTTAACACTGATCCCAATGTCCTGTAAAGGGTCTGGAAAAAAACAAAACAGAAACATTAGAGCAACCTTTGACAATTTTTTCATTTTCTGATGAGAAGAAGAAATTAATGAACCCATAAAATTAGACTGACATGACTATCACATTACAGCACTTTGGTTAAAAATACAGTGCCTTCAGAATGTATTCACACCCCTTGACTTTTTCAAAATGTTGTTGTGTTACAAAGTGGGATAAAAATTAATTGAATTGTCTTTTTTTTGTCAACAATCTACACAAACTAATCTAATTTCAAAGTGGAAGAAAAATTCTAACATTTGTAAACATTTATGAAAAATAAAACATAGATAACTATTCAACCCCCTGAGTCAATACATGTTAGAATCACCTTTGGCAGCGATTACCGCTGTGATTCTTTCTGGGTATGTCTCTAAGACCTGTCCACACCTGGATGTGCAACATTTGCCCATTATTATTTTCAAAATTCTTCTAGCTCTGTCAAATTGGTTGTTGATTTAGTTAAGTCAAAACTGTAACTTGGCCACTGTCTTCTTGGTAAGCAACTCCAGTGTACATTTGGCTTTGTGTTTTAGGTTATTGTCCTGCTGAAAGGTGAATTAATCACCCAGTGTTTGGTGGAAAGCAGCCTGAACCAGGTTTTCCTCTTGGACTTTGCCTGTGCTTAGCTCCATTCCGTTTCTTTTTTGTCCTGAAAAACTCCCCATTCCTTATCGATTACAAGCATACCAAAAAGTGTTTTTGCAGTATTACTTTAGTACCTTGTTGCAAACAGGATGCATGTTTTGGAATATTTTTTTTCTGTACAGGCTTCCTTCTTTTCATTCTGTCAATTAGGTTAGTATTGTGGAGTAACTACAATAATGTTGATCCATCCTCAGTTTTATCCTATCACAGCCATTAAACTGTGTAACCATGCAGAGTGAGTCCATGCAACTTATTATGTGACTTGTTAAGCACATTTTTACTCCTGAACTTATTTAGGCTTGCCATTACAAAGGGGTTGAATAATTATTGACTCAAGACATTTCAGCTTTTCATTTTTAATTCATTTAGAAACATTTCGAAAAAAACATAATTCCACTTCGACATTATGTGGTATTGTGTGTAGGCCACAAAAAATCTCAATTTAATCCATTTTAAATGCAGACTGTAACACAACAAAATGTGGGGAAAAGTCAAGGGGTGTCAAGGAATCAAAACAGTTCAATAATACATTCTTGGTAGGCAGTAGTAGCTAACATTAACTCATTTTTTGCCTCATCACTGTAATGTTTGCTTCCTTCCCACTGGGCACAAACTGGTTGAATCAGTGTTGTTTTCAATGTGAAATAGACGTTGAATTGACGTCTGTGCCCAGTGGGTTGCTACTCTCAATGCCTGTAGTCCAGTTTGTATTTGTCAGTGGTGTAAAGTACTTACAGTTTTTCTCAATTGCTTAAACACTAAAACCCATTGGCTGAACAAAGTTCTCAGTTGCCTGGACTCATTTAGCTAATTATGCAGTCTGTTGTCAATACCTTAAACCATTTCACATGGTAAAACACAATTTGCAGATCTCACTTAGACTTTTCAGCAAAACTCTAAACACATTCTCATTCTCAAAACACATTCTGCACTCTAATGCACATGTCATCCATACTGGTAAACACAAGTGGCAACAGTCAAATACAAATAGAGAACACATGTCATTGATTGAACACAACCACTCAAAATTGATTTAACCTGTTTCAAATGATGCGACACAACCAATATAAGCCAGTTCAGAGAGCAAACAGGTTGTTGAAGGTGGGAAGGAGAAAGTCTGAGAATGGAAAGAAGAAACAATGTGAGAGGACGAGTGCGTATGCGAGGTGGGCGACGAGGAGGAAGAGGAGGAGGAGGGCAAGAAAGAGGAAGAGGAGGACGAAGAGGAAGAGGACAAAGAGTGGAAATATCTGATGAAATTCGAGCAACAGTCATAGACCATGTTCTTGTCCATGAACTGACAATGAGGGAAGCAGGACTTACAGTGTTTCTCAATTGTTTACACACAAATACTGGTACTTGAGACACAATGACCACAACATGTAACTCATGCACCAACCCCCTGAACCAATTCTGCTAAACTACAAGCACAATTCCTGCTTTACACTCAAATTGCAGTTCTACAACACACTTTTTTCAAAACACTACACACAAATCTTTGCATTTGGCACAATTTTCATGCAGAAAATCTCTTGTTTTCACAATGAACACACTGCCATTCAAATATGCACACTGACTCATCACATGGGCAAACACCCGTCACACAGTTTTACAATTAGCAATCAGAGCTTTAGCATAAAAGGGCAACAGGTGAGCTCTTCTGTTTTGGAGCAATGGATGCCAACATTGGAAACAGAGGCAGAGCCAGAGGAGTGAGAGTAAGAGGAGGAGGGACGGGGAGGACAAGGACGAGGACGAGGACGAGGAAGGCCAAGGACCGTAATCTCTGTTGAGATCCGAGCCACTTTGGTTGATCATGTGGTCAACCATGGTCTAACAATGGAGGGAGGGAGGCAAAGAGTACAGCCAAATTTGAGCAGGTACACTGTAGCATCCATCATCCGGACATTCCGAAATGAGAATAGGTAAGAAATCTACTTTCACTAGAAAATTGCAGTACTGCATATCAATACAGTACTCAATGAGTACAGTAGTGCAGTATTGCCTGTGGACTGTTCTGTAGGACTGTAAAAATAAAGTATGTTTCAAGTATTTGGGAAATGTATTTCTACTTTGTATTTACAGCATTTTACTATTTGTTTGGCAGAACTGAAAGATTACCAACACAAGGTGGTCGGGAACGTTTTCTGTCTCCTGAACAGAACTGAAATCATGAACATGGTCCTAGAAAATAACGCCATAACATTACGGCAAATACAAAGAAAAATAATAGAAAACAATGAGATATTTCAAAATATTGATAGGGTAAGCTTATCAACACTGGACAGTGTCTTGCGCAGAAATAATCTCAGGATGAAGCAGGTCTACAGGGTGCCATTTGAACGCAATTCAGAAAGAGTCAAAGAATTGCGATATAACTATATGCAAGTGAGTCCTATACAATCCCACAATTGAAGCATACTCTCAACACTGTATAAATTATACATATTTCAGTATTGTAATCATAATGATTGTGCTTCACAATAGTGACCACTCCATGTCTATTTCTGATATTGTCATGTGTGTTTCAGAGAGTCCTTGAGCTAGAGGTGGCTGCAGTGGAGCACCAGTTCATCTTCATTGATGAGGTTGGATTCAACCTCACAAAAAGACGAAAGAGGGGAAGGAATATCATCGGCCAGCGTGCCATTGTTCAAGTCCCTGGCCAGGGCGGAGGGAACATCACAATGTATGCAGCGATTACCCACCACGGCGTCATCCATCACCATGCTACCCTTGGCCCCTACAACACCGCCCATCTGATCACATTCTTGGACACCCTACACAACACTCATTCCACCAGATCAGGTAGATGGCCCAGAGCAGCTCAGGTACGTTGTCATTTGGGACAACGTAAGTTTCCACAGGGCTGCTCTGGTTCGTAACTGGTTCACTGCCCACCCACGCTTTTTAGTTGTTTATCTCCCTCCATATTCTCCATTCCTCAATCCTATTGAGGATTTTTTTCTGCCTGGAGATGGAAAGTGTATGACCGAAATCCACAAACGCGTATACCTCTTCTCCAAGCTATGGAAGACGCATGTGGAGATATAGCAGCTGATGCTTTTCATGGCTGGAATCGCCATGCTAGGCGATATTTCCCCCGCTGCTTGGCCAGGGAAAACATTGCTTGTGATGTGGATGAGGTGCTGTGGCCAGACCGCAACAGAAGAGAGGATGCAGCATTTTTTTCATTTTTCATTTTTTCATTTTTTTTTTACTGTAACTATATACATTAAATTATTCTGTTTTGTATGTAGACCACTGTATGTGCAACTTTGTGTTGGTTGGGAATGGGATGTACACTGTGTACATTGTTTTTGTGGAAAAAATGAAATATATTTGTTTCCGTGTATTTGTGTGTTCTGAGTATAAAAACAATTTTCTCAAATATTTTACAACACACTTATGTATGTACTGTCTGTAGTAATGGCAACACTGAACCAAAAAAAGGCCTAAGTCATTATGATGAATGGAAAAGAAGTGTTTCCATTCATCATAGTGTTTTACATTGAGCACATCAGTGTTCAACTGGTTCTTATAAATGTCTATTCATATGATGGTTTGTGTGTGTCATTTGAAAACAAAATTCCATTTTGATAAGAAATAACATTGTTTTGAATGTAAAGTTTCATTTTGCTGGAGAATTGAGGGGTTTTGCCCATTGTGTGTGTGTTTTTTTATTTGTGTGTGGAGTTCTGAGAATATGAGGCATGCTTTCAGAAAATGTGTAAACAATCGAGAAAAACTGTAATGTGCAACCCAATTTGAGCCGATTTTCTGTGTCCACCATAGTAAGGACATTCAGAGAAGAGAACAGGTACAGTATACTACTGTATTTTTGTAATTGCAAATTTACTGTACTACACTATATGCAGCTGTTTCAATAGACATTTGTAAAGTTAATCACTGTATGTATTGTACTGCATGAATATGTTTTGTAACTGCACAACTACTTTTTGTAGAATTGCAAGGCTGTCACATACAGGTGGAAGGACAGCTATATTCACTCGGGAGCAAGAGGCAATACGACTTCAAGGGAATCAACAGTGTGAGCATTTCCACAATTGACCGTGTCCTCCATCGTAACAGGATGCGAATGAAACAAGTATACAGAGTACCTTTTGAGCGCAACTCACCAAGGGTGAAAGAACTGCGAGCTCAGTGTGTGCAAGTAAGTGTACATTCAGAAACATTTACTGTAATCCAGATTGTCTACAGTACTAACACATACTATGTGAATTACATTACTCTTCAGTACATACAATCAATGTATGTGAATCAGAAGTGCATACAGTAGGCCTAATTGTACTCTACAGTATAGCACTGTCTCTGTACGACTTACAAAATCCTACATACAGTATATTGTTTTTCTACACAGACAATATTTGACTTGGAATCCTTGGACAGACCCCATGAGTTCATCTTTGTCGATGAAGCAGGCTTCAATCTAACAAAGAGGAGAAGGAGAGGCCGAAACATGATTGGACAGAAGGCCATTGTTGAAGTCCCTGCCTGGTCAACGAGGTGGCAATGTCACAATCTGTGCTGCTATCAGCAACCATGGTGTTCTACATCACCATGTTACACTCGGGCCATATAACACCCAACACCTTCTAAGATGTATTTTATTTGAGCAGCAGGTTCAAGAGCAGCAGGGTCAAGAGCTAAATGAGAATCCCATTCCCACCTATGTGACAGTGTGGGACAATGTCAGTTTCCACCGAGCTGCTCAGGTAAGGGAATGGTTTAACATCAATGGGCAGTTTATGAACTTGTACCTCCCTCCATACTCGCCTTTCCTGAATCCGATTGAGGAGATGGAAAGTATATGATAGACAACCCTACACTAGAGTAAGTCTGCTGCAAGCCATGGATTTAGCCTGTGGTGATATAGGTGAGGAATCATGTCAGGGCTGGATACGGCACACTAGAGGCTTCTTTCCCCATTGCCTCAGGAGGGACAATATTGCTTGTGATGTCGACAAAGTGCTCTGGCCTGACCCAGCCCAAAGACAAGAAGAAGCACATTGATCACATGTTTACTCCTTTGATTTTTGTCCCTTTTAGTATTGTATACTGTAGTACAGTGCATTGTAGGCTGTATACTGTACAATGGACAAATTGTATGGCCCTGAACATTGTGCTTTCCATTTGATAACAGTACTGACTGCTCAATAGATTTTGACTGGTTGCAGGTTCATATCAACAAAGAACAAGAATTACAGTATCACAGAGACAAAGGACAAGTTTGTGAGATGCAGAGTACAGTACTGTAAAAATAGGTGTACAATGAGGAGGAAGAACAAAAAACAAAATTGCAAAGAGCAAAGCAGAGTAGTAATTTCTGATCAATTTTGAGCTACTATGATGGAACATGTTTTCGTTCATCAAAAGAAAATTCTCCCTGAGAACTGTATGTTTTGAAAAATGTGTTTTCTATTTTTCGGTGTATTGTTTACTGACTGCTTAAGAGTGTATATCATTTTGATCACTTTGTTTATGATTTGAGAGCAGTGTTTGATTTTGAACACAGGTAAAACTGTTTTGAGGCGAATGTTTCATTTTGCGAGAGGAGTCAGAGGTTTTGTAAATAGTGCTTGAAGATGAGGTTTTGTGTTTAATGTTTTCAGAAAATGGAGCAAGGTTTCAGAAATTGTGTTTTAGCAATTGAGAAAAACTGTAAGTAAAAATACTTTAAAGTACTACGTAAGTAGTGTTTTTGGGTATCTGTACTTTACTTTACTTTACTATTTCTATTTTTGACTACTTTTACTTTTACTTCACTACATACATAAAGAAAATGATGTACTTTTTCTTCCATACATTTCACCTGACACCTAAAAGTACTGGTTACATTTTGAATGCTTAGCAGGACAGGAAAATGTCAAATCACGCACTTAGCAAATCAAATCAAATCAAATTGTATTTGTCACATGTGCCGAATACAACAGGTTTAGACCTCACAGTGAAATGCTTACTTACAAGCCCTTAACCAACAATGCCGTTTTAAGAAAAATAAGTGTTAAGTAAAAAAATTGTAAAAAAGAAAAAATTGAAGAAAAATAGAAAAATAACAAATAATTAAAGAGCAGCAGTAAAACATCAGTAGCGAGGCTATATAAAGGGGGTACCGGTACAGAGTCAATGTAATTGAGGTAATATGTACATGTGGGTAGAGGTAAAGTGACATCCCTGGTCATCCCTACTGCCTCTGATCTGGCGGACTCACTAAACACACATGCTTCGTTTGTAAATGATGTCTGAGTGTTGGAGTGTGTCGCTGGCTGTCCGTAAATTTAAAAAACAAGAAAATGGTGCCATTTGGTTTGCTTAATATAAGGAATTTGATACATAAGTATATTTAGAACCAAATACTTTTAGACTTTTACTCAAGTAGAATTTTACTGGGTGACTTTCACCTTTTCTATTAAGGTATCTTCACTTTTACTCAAGTATGACAATTGGGTACTTTTTCCACCACTGGTTTTTGTACTGTCGTATTATCACATACTGAGTTGTACCCTGCTTTGCAAATCAAAAGGAATGCTTTTTTTTTTTTACTCACCACAGCTGCGATAGAATATCTGCAGTTTGTCCGTGTTGCAAATAGTGTGGACAGGCCATTGGACCTCCTGAACTAACCCCCTCTGGGGCCAGTTGGCCAGCAGGATAGCTAGAACCAAGAGCAGAGCTTGGTGAGGCATAGTTCCTTCCATACACTCTTTGGATCTTGTCAGGACTCAGGACCAGGCTCTCACTGGGTGACTGCTCTCCGCAAAGCAACAGGAAGTAACCAAAGCATGCCAGACTTCCCCAATTTCAGTGTGTGTGTGTGCGTTGTGTGTGAGTGTGTGTGAGAAAGATAGTGAGTGTGAGAAACAGAGAGAGAAATGAGAGAGAGAGAGAGAGAGAGAGAGAGAGAGAGAGAGAGAGAGAGAGAGAGAGAGAGAGAGAGAGAGAGAGAGAGAGAGAGAGAGAGAGAGAGAGAGAGAGAGAGAGAGAGAGAGAGAGAGAGAGAGAGAGAATGTGACTAATTTCACTTCTCTGTCCTCTGATTCCAATGGTTCAATATTGGCATAGACAACTACCGTTATGAGTTTGTACAGAATACACAGAATAGAAACACTCCTTTGATTGATTGAGCGTATAGCATGACAAATGACTCACATGACATGTACTGAATTTCAAATTATTGAACATACAATGCACTATACTGCATTTGCACGCTCTCTGCTAATGTCTTTCTAAAAGTCAGTTAACCATATAACATTGACTCTAATACAATTTGCAGTTGCAAGTTTACCAAATATTTGTTAAGTTTAGAATAGGAGTACCTCACATATAAATTCCTGAACCTGATTTTGAGAAATTTTGGAAATTGAAAATGTTTTCGACCTGCAGTCAAGATGCAGAAATGTCATGTTGTGTAGTACATTGTTACAACATAGGGGGGCGCAATGATTGGCAGCATGAGAGAGAGCGAGAGAGCTTTTGACTCAATTTGGCATGAGGGTCTGCTATACAAATTGATGGAAAGTGGTGTTGAGGGAAAAACATACAATGTTATAAAATCCATGTACACAAACAACAAGTGTGTGGTTAAAATTGGCAAAAAACACACACATTTCTTTCCACAGGGCCGTGGGGTGAGACAGGGATGCAGTTTAAGCCCCACCCTCTTCAACATACAGTATATATCAATGAATTGGCGAGGGCACTAGAACAGTCTGCAGCACCCAGCCTCACCCTAATAGAATCTGAAGTCAAATGTCTACTGTTTGCTGATGATCTGGTGCTTCTGTCACCAACCAAGGAGGGCCTACAGCAGCACCTAGATCTTCTGCACAGATTCTGTCAGACCTGGGCCCTGACAGTAAATCTCAGTAAGACAAAAATAATGGTGTTCCAAAAAAGGTCCAGTTGCCAGGACCACAAATACAAATTCCATATAGACACCGTTGCCCTAGAGCACACAAAAAACTATACATACCTTGGCCTAAACATCAGCGCCACAGGTAACTTCCACAAAGCTGTGAACGATCTGAGAGACAAGGCAAGAAGGGCCTTCTATGCCATCAAAAGGAACATAAAATTCGACATACCAATTAGGATCTGGCTAAAAATACTTTAATCAGTTATAGAATCCATTGCCCTTTATGGTTGTGAGGTCACCCACGACGCCAGGATAGCGGAGTCAATGGCCACCTTCCGGAGACACTTGAAACCCTACCTCTTACGGAATACCTGGAATAGTATAACAGTAATCCTATGTGGCCATGTGCACACTGCCCACAAAATGAGGTGGAAACTGAGCTGCACTTCATAACCTCTTGCCAAATGTATGACCATATTAGAGACACATATTTCCCTCAGATTACACAGATCCACAAATAATTTGAAAACAAACCCAATTTTGATAAACTCCCTTATCTACTGGGTGAAATGCCACAGTGTGCCATCACAGCAGCAAGATTTGTGACCGGTTGCCACAAGAAAAGGGCAACCAGTGAAGAACAAACACCATTGTAAATACAACCCATATTTATGTTTATTTATTTTCCCATTTGTACTTTATACTATTTGCACATTGTTACAACACTGTATATATAATTAATATTACATTTGAAATGTCTTTATTCTATTGGAACTTCTAAATGTGATGTTTACTGTTAATATTTATAGTTTTTTCACTTTTGTTTACTATCTTCTTCACTTGCTTTGGCAATGTTAACATATGTTTCCCATGCCAATAAAGCCATTAAAATTTAATTGACAGCCAAATGTTTATAACTAACCCAAGTTAGACCATAGCCTGTCGTTTCCAATGGAAGCAAATTAATCATAGTGAGCAGAACAAGCAAGGAGGTGGGCAGAGCCAAGGACGAGCTAGTGAGATCCTATTGGCGCGTTCTAGCATTTATTTGCATATTTCCTCAAGGGAACGCCTACTCTGAAGTGCGCGTGTGCAGTAACTCAATTCGCCCTTGCACTCCTTACATTTACATTTTAGTCATTTAGCAGACGCTCTTATCCAGAGCGACTTACAGTTAGTGAGTGCATAAATGTTTTCATACTGGCCCCCCGTGGGAATCGAACCCACAACCCTGGCGTTGCAAGCGCCATGCTCTACCAACTGAGCTACACGTTGCAATGCTTATTTGTTTTTACTTTGGCAAAGTCTACACAACGCAGTCCACTATGTTTGTTACAGATTCTAGTTCTGGAAACCGACAACTGTATGGAGATGAAATGTTTAATCGATGAGTAAATTTGCAGAACGTCGGCAAAAATCCATCTCGCTTCATCGTCTCCCACTGCCGGCCACTGGAATTCCTCTCATCACCGTATTTGGTAGTGAGTGGAAACGCAAATCGGATGCTTCACATTTATACATCCGGTAAAATATCTGCCTCATTGTTCTGTCTGTGGTCAAACAGTGCCACAGAGAGAGAACTTGCTTCCTGGTCGTTCCTCATTCCCTATTGTTGTGAGCTTGGTAAATTAAGGGACTACGATTAAACTTATATTTTTATGGGAATACTAACAACAATCGCTGCTGGCAATACTGGGGTGGTGGTAAACACTCCGGGAACAGTTTCTTGACGTCTCCAAACACCGCATGAGGCTGTCGGTGGAATGTCGCTGAGCTCAGGCGGGTGGACTACTCACACCCCTTCGCCGGTCCCGTCCTCATCTATCCCAGGCTATGGGGCCTCACAAACTGGCTGCCATACCGTCTTGATGTCTGTACGGGTATCAGTTTGCTATTCTGATATTCGGCCGGTGTGTCTTCCAGGGGCAGGTGATGAGTCACTCCGTCTCCAGCTCTGTATGGACCCCTGGAAGTCCGGGGAATACCGTCTCATGCTACGGGACACTAGCAGAACAACGGGTCGGAGTGTGGTAAGAGATCGTGATGTTTATTTATTACGAAGCAGGCAGGCATGGATGTACAGAGGGTTTTGTCACTACACTATTACATTACCCCTGGTCTGGTCTCATGGTTACTTTTGACAGGCATTCATTGAACTGTCAGAGAGCAATTTGAAACAGATCATTTATAGTTCAACAAATAGTTGAACTACATTCTTGTCATCAAACATTCCCACAAGGTTTATAGGCTGTACCTTGCTGCTGTGCTGTCCAATCGATCTCTTCCAAAATAGAGCAACAACATGACATCAGTACTAGAACTACAGTCATTATACTACCAGAGAATAAACAGTGGTAGTGGCCTATTTCAGTGTGTGATAAAATGAGCATCACTCTTCTTCTCTCTCCCCCTTCATGTCTTCCAGTCCATTGCAGAGTTTGACCTGAGGTTGCTACGCTATGAGGTGAAGTCGGCAAAATGCCACGAGCTGAGTTTGGCCATGCCCCCTCATGACCACATCAGCTTCAACTTCCACTGCCAGCAGGAGGCTCAGGAGTGGGCCACCGTGGTGATGTCATCACTCAGAGAGGCACAAAGGGGTCAGTCGCCACCGATCTCTATTCTCTCTGACCTGTTTGTCCACTGAATTCTCTTCCTGTGCTCTAATAACCAGAGTCCTCTATCTCCTCCTCTCCTGACCCCTCAGTGGCAGACAGCCCTCCCACCGATGACAGACAGCTGCCTCTAGAGGCCTTTGAGATGCCCATCTCCAGTGCCTTACCACGCACAGGTAGCCCTATACAATATGGTTGCATTATGGGCAATTCCACGTTAACAGAATTAAGATGAGACTCTAATGTTTCACTTTAAAATGTATGCCAAACAAAAACCAATGATTGCAAAGTTAGACAAACCATACAACTCTATGCACAAGGACAACTTTTAATAATTTCAACTGAAAATTGTACAAAAACAGATTTACTTCAAGAACAGTCCAGATGCAACATTTGGTAACAGAATGACGGAACAAAAAGCACTGCCCGTCATTCTGTTGCATTTTTATGCTTCATGAGAATACTTAAGTGGTTTTGTGTACTGTAGTGTATAGGCGTAGTTTCTACCCTTTTCAATTGCTCACTGTCCCTGCCTCTCGGTTTCTTCCTTGTGTCCACTGGTCTGTAGAGGAGATGTGTGCTGACCTGACCAGAGCCATCCAGGCTGGTGACATCCAGGCGGCCTCCATCTACGCTGCCACCCTGGCTCATCAGCAGGCAGGGCTGAAGATCCAGCCCTCAGAGGAGCTACGGAGACACAGAGGTTAAGTGAGAGGGTGAAGAGCACGAGAGCTACTGGGTAGAAGAAGATACAATTATTGAAGAATTCAGAATATAACTTTGTAGGACAGGAAATGCATATTTTAGGAGTTGATGACGATTGTATCTTTCTGTGAAAGCTTGGCTGTAATGGTTGAGGATTCTTCATCTTCCTGTTGTGTCACGGTGAAAGTCCTCCCCCACACGACCATCGCAATACTCAAACAGCAGGTCAGTCTGAACAGCTTAAACAAGATTTTTCAATTTTTTAAAGTTTGAATTTAAATTCAGTTCTCCATAAAAGTATTTAGCTATAAAATATTTTTAACATTATGTAAACCTACTTTCTGTCTTTGTTTATTTGGACCTTTCTGTCTGTCCCTCTGTCTCCTAGGTATTCCTGGAGTATGGCTTCCATCCGCGGGTGCAGCGCTGGGTGATCGGCCAGTGTCTGTGTGCTGAGCAGCGCTCTCTGGCATCATATGGGGTGCGCAGAGACGGGGACACGGCCTTCCTGTACCTCCTCTCCGCCCGCCACGCCCGCCTCACACGGCAGCTGCTCCAGCAGGACCAGGAGAGTACCCTCCTCACCCCCGCTACCCCTCCTCCCGGGCCCCCCAGAAATGGCCCTACATCCCAGGACTGGAGGGTTTACAGCACCCTGCCACCCAGACTGAGCCACAGCAGCATGGGTGAGACTGCTAAGCACAAACACAAACACACCATTGACAGAAGGACCCATTGTTGGCACCCTGACCATGCGTTGTTCCTGTCCCTGTAGGTTCAAATGGAACAGGGCCGAATGGAGCAGGGGCAGAGAGGCTGAACATCAGTGAAATCAAATACCTCCTCAACCTGGAGATGCCACAACTCAATGATGCACTTACCCCCAAGAAATCAGGCCCTCAGGTACACACAAGCTCTGTACAATACCCCTTGGTAATAATTGAATAACGATGTCACCCTCATAACATAACTGATACATACCTAGATGCTGTAAGTTGACATACAGTAGGTATCCACCTACACACCTGTAAAGACCGTCTCGCTGTGGGTCTCAGGGTTGGGCCTGCCCCTCTTGCACGTACATAAACAAGCCCACGCGGCCTGGCTGTGAGATCTGCAGTACAGACCGTCCAGAGAGCTATACTGTTCCTGGGAGCTACAAACCAGACCCTCTGGAGCTCCGCCGCATACAGCAGGAGAAAGAAGCCGTCCGACAGCACCAGCAGGTAGGATGGTTTTATGCTCAGACAGACACACACCCACACACTCCCTCACTCATGCACGTAAACACATTAAAATAGTGCATACAGCAGGTGATGCAAGCTGTCAGACCGTGCCAACAGGACAGGTAGGACCCTCTGATGCAGACATGCACACACAGTTGACAGTAAAAACAGTGTGTAGTTTATTAAGGAAAAGGCAGGCTTAGTAGGATGGATGTAAGAGCTGAGGAGGAGTTGAGACGACCAGGGATGGTAGGCTGGGCTCCAAGGCTGACTCTCTTCTCTTCTGTCTCTTTGTTTTTTGAAGGAGGAAGGGAGAAGAGAGGAGCTGAGGGGCGCAGGTGCTCAAAATGACTCACTACTGGTAGACTTAGACCAGGACTACTGATATCATCACAGAAAGAGACTGACTAACTGATACACACACTCCACGTATCATCACAGAAAGAGACTGACTAACTAAGACACACTCCATGTATCATCACAGAAAGAGACTGACTAACTAAGACACACTCCACATATCATCACAGAAAGAGACTGACTAACTGATAAACACACTTTCTATATTTTGCAACTGTTACATACTGTAACATTCTCTTCAACCTATGCACTCACTCAAGCTACTGAGCAGTAGTCATTTGTCTTATGACAGAACCTCAGTGACTGTACATTACATAGGACAGCATTGTGGCTGCCTACCCCCTGACATTGTTTGATACAAATACTGTATGTTTAAGCAAAATAAAAATGTGTATGGCTATGTTATGTTGAAATCTTTTTATATAGGACATCACTAAAGCTGCTATTTTGCATGTTTGTAATAAATTATGTAACTGTACTGCTACTGTAAAAGTCCATATAGGCCATGTTTGCTCAGTGTGTGCCAACCAGTTGAAACCTACCGTTTCAGAGAAGGAAAACAACTCTGCTGTGTTGCCCACTCTGTTCCTGTTTGTTGCAGTCTGGGTCATGAAGTTCAAAACTTCAATGGCTGTTTGTTTTCAATGTGTTAAGTCTCAAAATGCACAATTTAATTAATAATGAATTAATTTTTTTCATTTTGACTGAAAGAAGAACAAAAGAACACCCATGTTATTGCAATTAAAATGTGTATTTAACTGTAATTAAGCAAGCAAATAAAATGCTTTTTTGAACAAAATGAATGCCAGTGTGTTAATTGTCGTGTGTGTGAATGATGTGTGGTGTGTGTACGTGTGTTTACATTGTGTTTAACATGTGTGTTGTATGTTGTGGATCCCCACCACCCCAGGCTAGAGAAGCAGAGCTGATGATGCTAGATGGGAAGGACCTGGTGCCCAACCCAGAGGCTGTGAACTGGATGATCTGTTACCTGGACTTACAGCCTGGGGAAGGAGTCCTGCTCAGAGAGTGTCTCCACTGTTTCTGCAGGTAACACACACACCTTAGTGACCCTACCCCTAGTGACCCTAGTGACCCTACCCCTAGTGACCCTACCCCTAGTGACCCTACTCCTAGTGACCCTAGTAACCCTACCCCTAGTGACCCTACTCCTAGTAACCCTACCCCTAGTGACCCTAGTGACCCTACTCCTAGTGACCCTACCCCTAGTGACCCTCCCTAGTGACCCTACTCCTAGTGACCCTACTCCTAGTGACCCTAGTGACCCTACTCCTAGTGATCCTAGTGACCCTACTCCTAGTGACCCTACCCCTAGTGACCCTACCCCTAGTGACCCTAGTAACCCTACCCCTAGTGACCCTACTCCTAGTAACCCTACCCCTAGTGACCCTACTCCTAGTGACCCTAGTAACCCTACCCCTAGTGACCCTACTCCTAGTGACCCTAGTGACCCTACTCCTAGTGACCCTAGTGACCCTATCCCTAGTGACCCTACCCCTAGTGACCCTACCCCTAGTGACCCTACTCATAGTGACCCTAGTGACCCTATCCCTAGTGACCCTATCCCTAGTGACCCTACCCCTAGTGACCCTACCCCTAATGACCCTATCCTTAGTGACCCTACTCCTAGTGACCCTACCCCTAGTGACCCTACCCCTAGTGACCCTACCCCTAGTGACCCTATTCATAGTGACCCTACCCCTAGTGACCCTATCCCTAGTGACCCTACTCCTAGTGACCCTACTCCAAGTGACCCTAGTGACGCTACCCCTAGTGACCCTACCCCTAGTGACCCTACCCCTAGTGACCCTACTCCTAGTGACCCTACCCCTAGTGACCCTAGTGCCCCTACCTAGGGCTGTTGTGGTGACCGTATTACCGCCACACCGGCGGTCATGAGTCATGATAATACACACACCTTAGTGACCCTACCCCTAGAATTTAAATGTAATGATGGCAGTCAAATTCCACATGACCATTTAGTCACGGTAATTAGGCTTCTCCAAGCTCTGATGCTGCTGATGGTCATTAGTAGCCTACCAAACTTGCTAACTGCCAGTCACTAATGGCCCGGTACTCAGCACTCTATTGTCCCTCTAATCACTCTGACATCAATGCAAATGTGATCGAAAATCTAATCAAACACTTCATGAGTGCCCATGAGCTCATGTTGCATAACATTTCTATAGGTTATGCAATTGCACGAGAAAACAGAGTGATGGCCTCTATTAAATAGAGGAAGATTCCATCAGCTTTCTATAGGCTAGACCTACTATATTTATTTCTCAACTTTCCTAATATTAAGCACATTGCTTATCTTTACAACAGGAGTATAGCCTACCTGGCTGGCATGAAAATGAACCACAGGAAAAGCGTCCTCCATTCGCTATTTAAGTGCATAGATTAGATATATTTTTTCCCGCTGCCCTTGTTTCGAGACAGGTGAATGATAATGGTCCATTCTAAATCAAAACGAATTTCACACATATATTATTTAGTATATGTAAAGACAAGATTAAATCAAGAATAGTCTGATGGGTGACAGTATTAGCCTATCACTTGTGAATTATATATTATCACTTGTGAATGATGCCCACCTTAAGGCAAGAAACAATGCCCTTTTTTTGTGACTTTTTCGAATCATAGTTGCACACCTCATGTAGCCTAGCCCATAGGCCTATATGTTTTGATAAAGTTTGTATCGAAGCTAAAGTGGCCAAATAACTTAGGGCGAGAGTTTCAAGTTTGGGGAAGAGAATTTTCACCATAAAAATCCACCTTTATAATAAAAGCAATCCATGCATAATCGCATTTGTGGTCACTTTTGATAACGGTGATTTCCCACTAATGGAACATTCGCGCTTATAGCCTATACTATATAAGAAATAGCCTAATAGTTTATCAGCATTTTAAGCTAAATGTTCTGATCTGTTGCGTCAGCTTCATTGCGTAAAATAGTTTTTTTGATGCTAGTGGTTGTGTTAATTTGGGATGTATCGCGTCCCACAACTGTCCCAGACTATGTTTGGAATATTTATTTCTCACACAGAATAGAATAGGTCAACTTTTGCACTATGGGGGATAGTAGATTGACATAGGCTAGTGCTTTTGCTTTTCGTTAGGCCTACTCATCTTGTGGACAGTTCTTCCAATATCTTCAATATGCACCTCGGAATTGAATAAGGACGCACGCAGTTGCGTCCCTGATTTGTCTGTCTTCACTTGTAGCCTGTGAGAAAGACCTGATCATGTGATGGAGAGCCGTGCGAGTGAGATGAGAGGTGCTTCGGAGCGGGCAGCACTCAGGGAGAAGGGCTGCAAAAGGCATGGATTTATTTTGGGTGCATTATGGCCACACAAAGGGGATGCAGCCGGGAAAAATCGAGGCATTATCAAGTACTTGTCAAATTGTGAATGAGAGACTGATGTAGTGTGTACAGCCTGCACAAAAAACAAAGCAGTCTCTTGCCTTTCATGCAACTTTTTTCAAATCATCATTAGTCGCATCATGCAGCCTTAGAATGTATTAAAAATCAAAATATATAGCCCAACATTTGTAGAACAACTGAAGTTACATTAATAACTCTAAATTAAGCATATAGGAGTATCTATTTCTTTGTTAACCGCTCAACACAGAATAGCCGCATGTGCGCACTCCCTCAAATCATTTGGAGAAAATATCCTTTATATTTTATTCAGCTATGTTCAATTGTATTCTTCATACTATAAAATAATATAAAATAATGCCACGGAATTCTATGCAAATCTTGTCTGCTAAATGAACTAGTGTAGCCCACAGCCATATGGCATAGCCAGATCAGGGCCTAACATAAGGACAACTCAGAGTATGCTATTATGTTCTTCTGAAATAGACTACATTTTCTTCATATAATGTTTCTTTAGACAGGTCTAAAACAAATAATGGATTTATTGTGAAGGTGTAGGCTATATTACATGGATTTATTAGACTTTTTTAAGTGTAGGTGTTCCAAAGGTCTGCATCAGTGGCTTGTAGGCTATGTGTGGAAGCCAGGAGATGCTAAATGTGTTTATGTTAATTAACAGTCAATTACGTGAGACTGACAGTTATTTGCTTGACAATCACCGACTGATGAAATTCGTGACTGCCACAGTCCTAGTGACCCTACCCCTAGACACTTTAGCTGATCTGAAAGCATTGGAGCGGTGTTAGCAATGTGGTGGAAACTCCACTTAGCCTGCCAGAGAGCTGCTAAGCAGCTATAACATCACATTGCTTACACCCATCGGATTCTTTCTTTCTACAAGAATTGTCTTGGGTGGATATGGAATTCAGCAAGTGCAAGAGGGGCGTGGGTGAGGGAGGATGAGATGCTTATGCAGATATGGAATAAGTATGTTGTTGTTGTTGTTCACAGAGATTGCCTGCGCTCAGTAGTCCTGATGTGTGAGGACCCGGAGGTGGCCTGTCCGTACCGTGATGACACATGCCTGTGACTGCACCCTGCAGCTGTGAGTCGACATTTCTGTCTTCTTAATCTATAATTTTCTTAATCTATACACAGTTGAAGTCGGAAGTTTACATTCACTTAGGTTGGAGTCATTAAAACTAGTTTTTCAACCACTCCACAAATTTCTTGATAACAAACTATAGTTTTGGCAAGTCGGTTACGACATCTACTTTGTGCATGACACAAGTAATTTTTCCAACAATTGTTTACAGACAGATTATTTCACTTATAATTCACAGTATCACAATTCCAGTGGGTCAGAAGTTTACATACACTAAGTTGACTGTGGAAAATTCCTGAAAATTATGTCATGGCTTTAGAAGCTTCTGATAGGCTAATTGACATCATTTGAGACAATTGGAGGTGTACCTGTGGATGTATTTCAAGGCCTATCTTCAAACTCAGTGCCTCTTTGCTTGACATCATGGGAAAATCAAAAGAAATCAGCCAAGACCTCAGAAAATAAATTGTAGACCTCCACAAGTCTGGTTCATCCTTGGGAGCAATTTCCAAACGCCTGAAGGTACCACGTTCATCTGTACAAACAATAGTATGCAAGTATAAACACCATGGGACCACGCAGCCATCATACCACTCAAGAAGGAAAAGTGTTCTGTCTCCTAGAGATTAACGTACTTTGGTGCAAAAAGTGCAAATCAATCCCAGAACAACAGCAAATGACCTTGTGAAGATGCTGGAGGAAACAAGTACAAAAGTATCTATATCCACAGTAAAACGAGTCCTATATGAACATAAACTGAAAGGCCGCTCAGCAAGGAAGAAGCTACTGCTCCAAAACCGCCATAAAAAAAGCCAGACTATGGTTTGCAACTGCATATGGGGACAAAGATCGTACTTTTTGGAGAAATGTCCTCTGGTCTGATGAAACAAAAATAGAACTGTTTGGCCATAATGACCATTGTTATGTTTGGAGGAAAAAAGGGGTAGCTTGCAAGCCGACGAACACCATCCCAACAGTGAAGTACGGGGATGGCAGCATCATGCTGTGGGGGTGCTTTGCTGCAGGAGGGACTGGTGCACTTCACAAAATAGATGGCATCATGAGGAAGGAAAATTATGTGGATATATTGAAGCAACATCTCAAGACATCAGTCAGGAAGTTAAAGCTTGGTCGCAAATGGGTCTTCCAAATGGACAATGACCACAAGCATACTTCCAAAGTTGTGGCAAAATGGCTTAAGGACAACAAAGTCAAGGTATTGGAGTGGCCATCACAAAGCCCTGACCTCAATCCTATAGAACATTTGTGGGCAGAACTGAAAAAGCGTGTGCGAGCAAGGAGGCCTACAAACCTGACTCGGTTACATTTTAGTCATTTAGCAGACGCTCTTATCCAGAGCGACTTACAGTTAGTGAATAAATATTTATTTTTTTATACTGGCCCCCCGTGGGAAACGAACCCACAACCCTGGCGTTGCAAACGCCATGCTCTATCAACTGAGCTACATCCCTGCCGGCCATTCCCTCCCCTACCCTGGACGACGCTGGGCCAATTGTGCGCCGCCCATGAGTCTCCCGGTCGCGGACGGCTGCGACAGAGCCTGGATTCGAACCAGGATCTCTAGTGGCACAGTTAGCACTGCCTTAGACCACTGCGCCACTCAGTTACACCAACTCTGTCAGGAGGAATGGGCCAAAATGAACCCAACTTATTGTGGGAAGCTTGTGGAAGGCTACCCGAAACGTTTGACCCAAGTTAAACAATTTAAAGGCAATGCTACCAAATACTAATTGAGTGTATGTAAACTTCTGACCCACTGGGAATGTGATGAAAGAAATAAAAGCTGAAATAAATCATTCTCTCTACAATTATCCTGACATTTCACATTCTTAAAATAAAGTGGTGATCCTAACTGACCTAAGACAGGGAATTTTTACTAGGATTAAATGTAAAGAATTGTGAAAAACTGAGTTTAAATGTATTTGGCTAAGGTGTATGTAAACTTCCAACTTCAACTGAACAGAAATATACAATTTTAATGATTTTGCTGAATTACAGTTCATATAAGGAAATCAGTCAATTGAAATAAATGAATTAGGCCCTAATTTATGGATGGGTCATGGGTGGGCCTGGGAGGGCCCACCCACTTGGGAGCCAGGCCCACCCACTGGGAAGCCAGGCCCAGCCAATCAGAATGAGTTTTTCCCCACAAAAGGGCTTTATTACAGACAGAAATACTCCTCAGTTTAATCAGCTGTCCAGGTGGCTGGTCTCAGACGATCCCGTAGGTGAAGAAGCCGGATGTGGATGTCCTGCCGTGGTTACACGTGGTCTGCGGTTGTGAGGCCGGTTGGACATACTGCCAAATTCTCTAAAACGACGTTGAAGGCGGCTTATGGTAGAGAAATGAACATTACATTCTCTGGCAACAGCTCTGGTGGACATTCCTGCAGTCAGCATGCATGCCAATTGCACGCTCCCTCAAAACTTGAGACATCTGTGGCATTGTGTTGTGTCACAAAACTGCACATTTTAGTGGCCTTTTATTGTCCCCAGCACAAGGTGCACCTGTGTAATGATTATGCTGTTTAATCAGCTTCTTGATATGCCACACCTGTCAGGTGGATGGATTATCTTGGCAAAGGAGAAATGCTCACTAACAGGGATTTAAACTAATTTGTGCACAAAATTTGAGAGATATAAGCTTTTTGTGCATATGGAAAATATCTGGGATCTTTTATTTCAGCTCATGAAACATGGGACCAACACTTTACATGTTGCCTTTATTTTTGTTCAGTATACATAAACATACTAGCTACTCAAGATGGCACATTGGATTTTATAGACATTCTGTATAACACACTGCCTAATGTCTGGCAAATGCAGACCAGACAACCCACAATACATCAGTAATCTCTCTCCCCCCTCTGATCTTCCATTCCTTCCTGCCTACCAGTTGGTGTCAGAAGAGGAGTACAAGCGCTGGCTGCAGAGAGGCTTGTCTGTGGCAGAGTCTCGCTGTGAGGGCAGTTACCACTGTGCCAGCCCAGACTGCTCCGGATGGTGTGTGTACGAGGACACAGTCAACGTGTTCCACTGCCCCGTCTGGAACAAGCACAACTGCCTGCTCTGCAAGGTACACACACACACCACATTTACATTCACCAATGATTGCGAACACCATGGATTTGAAAATACACTACCAGTCAAAAGTTTGGACACACCTACTCATTCAAGGGTTTTTCTTTATTTTTACTATTTTTTACATTGTAGAATAATAATGAAGACATCAAAACTAGGAAATAACACATGGAATCATGTAGTAACCAAAAAAAGTGTTAAACAAATCAAAATATATTTTATATTTGAGATTCTTCAAATAGCCACCCTTTGCCTTGATGACAGCTTTGCACACGCTTAGCGTTCTCTCAACCAGCTTCATGAGGTAGTCACCTGGAATGCATTTCAATTAACAGGTGTGCCTTCTTAAAAGTTCATTTGTGGAATGTATTTCCTTCTTAATGCGTTTGAGACAATCAGTTGTGTTGTGACAAGGAACGGGTGGTATACAGAAGATAGCCCTATTTGGTAAAAGACCAAGTCCATATTATGGCAAGAACAGCTCAAATAAGTAAAGAGAAACGACAGTCCATAATTTCTTTAAGTCATGAAGGTCAGTCAATACGGAACATTTAAAGAACTTTGAAAGTTTCTTCAAGTGCAGTCGCAAAAACCATCAAGCGCTATGATGAAACTGGCTCTCATAAGGACCGCCACAGGAATGGAAGACCCAGAGTTACCTCTGCTGCAGAGGATAAGTTCATTAGAGTTACCAGCCTCAAATTGCAGGCCAAATAATTGCTTCACAGTTCAAGTAACAGACACATCTCAACATCAACTGTTCAGAAGGGACTGTGTGAATCAGACCTTCATGGTTGAATTGCTGCAAAGACACTACTAAAGGACACCAATAAGAAGAGACCTGCTTGGGCCAAGAAACATGAGCAATGGACATTAGACCAGTGGAAATTTGTCCTTTGGTCTGGAGTCCAAATTTGAGATTTTTGGTTCAAACCGCCGTGTCTTTGTGAGACGCGGTGTGGGTGAACGGATGATCTCCTCATGTGTAGTTCCCAACGTAAAGCATGGAGGAGGTGTTATGGGGTGGGGGTGCGTTGCTGGTGACACTGTCTGTGATTTATTTAGAATTCAAGGCACACTTAACCAGCATGGCTACCACAGCATTCTGTAGCAATACACCAACCCATCTGGTTTGGGCTTAGTGGGACTATCATTTGTTTTTCAACAGGACAATGACCCAACACACCTCCAGGCTGTGTAAGGGCTATTTTACCAAGAAGGAGAGTGATGGAGTGCTGCATCAGATGACCTGGCCTCCACAATCCCCCGACCTCAACCCAACTGAGATGGTTTGGGATGAGTCGGACGGCAGAGTGAAGGAAAAGCAGCCAACAAGTGCTCAGCATATGTGGGAACTCCTTCAAGACTGTTGGAAAAGCATTCCAGGTGAAGCTGGTTGAGAGTGCCAAGAGTGTGCAAAGCTGTCATCAAGGCAAAGGGTGGCTATTTGAAGAATCTCAAATATAAAATATATTTTGATTTGTTTAACACTTTTTGGTTACTACATGATTCCATATGTGTTATTTCCTAGTTTTGATGTCTTCACCAGGGACGGCTTGTTCAATAGGGCGATATGGGCGACGCACTGCCAAACGGGAAAAGGAAGGGATTTTTTTGGGTGTCTGTGGGCTTGCACTTACGCGCTTTCGTCATACGTGACGTAACGTTGAACGTAACTAAGACAATGGCGCCTAGCAGCGTCTCTGTTGCGACCTGCAGTGCGGCGTTATTTTATGTTTTTAATTTGTAGACTTAGTTTACAAACATTCTGCCAACCATGGATTTCCAGTGGTTGGTTTTGGACTGATCTTGTTGATCGTGTACATACCCGCTACGAACGGACTAAATAATGAAAACGCTGCTGGCAGCTGAATCCCAATACAGCTGGGAGACTTGGCTGGATGACAGAGTCCCGGACAGAGAAGTGGAGCCGGCCACCTTCACCCTGGTCAGAGCGGACCGCGATCCTGGTAAGAGAGCGACTCTGTACCCCGACATTGAACTGCTTTCTGTGTCATTGCGACCTTACTATCAATTCAATTCAATTTAAGGGCTTTATTGGCATGGGAAACGTGTGTTAACATTGCCAAAGCAAGGGAAGTAGATAGTAAACAAAAGTGAAATAAACAATAAATATTAACAGTAAACATTACACTCAGAAGTTTCAAAAGAATAAAGACATTTCAAATGTCATATTATGTATATATACAGTGTTGTTACAATGTGCAAATAGTAAAAGTACAAATGGGAAAATAAATAAACATAAATATGGGTTGTATTTACAATGGTGTTTGTTCTTCACTGGTTGCCCTTTTCTTGTGGCAACAGGTCACAAATCTTGCAGCTGTGATGGCACACTGTGGTTTTTCACCCAGTAGATAAGGGAGTTTATCAAAATTGGGTTTGTTTTCGAATTCTTTGTGGATCGCTGTAATCTGAGGGAAATATGTGTCTCTAATATGGTCATACATTTGGCAGGAGGTTAGGAAGTGCAGCTCAGTTTCCACCTCATTTTGTGGGCAGTGTGCACATAGCCTGTCTTCTCTTGAGAGCCAGGTCTGCCTACGGCGGCCTTTCTCAATAGCAAGGCTATGGTCACTGAGTCTGTACATAGTCAAAGCTTTCCTTAAGTTTGGGTCAGTCACAGTGGTCAGGTATTCTGCCACTGTGTACTCTCTGTTTAGGGCCAAATAGCATTCTAGTTTGCTCTGTTTTTTTGTTTGTTCTTTCCAATGTGTCAAGTAATTCTCTTTTTGTTTTCTCATGATTTGGTTGGGTCTAATTGTGTTGTTGTTGTTGTTGTTGTTGTTGTCCTGGGGCTGTGTGGGGTCTGTTTGTGTTTGTGAACAGAGGCCCAGGACAAGCTTACTTAGGGGACTCTTCTCCAAGTTCATCTCTCTGTAGGTGATGGCTTTGTTATGGAAGGTTTGGGAATCGCTTCCTTTTAAGTGGTTACTATCTGCCCCGTGAGTTCCCCCAATTGTTTGTTACCGTTGTGTACTGTTGATAATCACAAGTTTACTGGAGAACTGAGACCAAGTAGAGACTTTGGACAGGGTGGATATGGTATAATAAAGGCAGTTTATTCAGAGGTAAAGATATCTGGAATCGCGTGCACGGACTCGTGCACGTGTGTAGGTCACCTAAATCATCAGAAAAATTGCCCCTCCTGAGAATTTTTTCAGGAGCCGCCACTGGTCTTCACTATTATTCTAACAATGTAGAAAATAGTAAAAATAAAGAAAAACCCTTGAATGAGTAGGTGTGTCCAAACTTTTGACTGGTAGTGTACGTCCTTCTCTACTTTCCCTCTGTCTGTCTCTCTCAGGCGATCCATGAAGAGATGGACTGTAAGCAGTACCAGGATGAACTGACAGCCCGTGCTGAGAACGACTCAGCAGCCTGCAGAACCAGAGATCTGCTGAAGGTGACACACAATCAGACACTTTGTTACATGTACTTTATACCTGTAGATCGATTTCGGCAAGCATTGAAGACAAGTGGAAGGAATGTTAGGTTTTTCAGGTAGTTAGACTTTGCTCATATGATATTAACAGAAAATAACTGTTAAATTAACATGTATAAACTGTCCCTCTTTCTCAGACCCTGGTCCTCTCCGGGGAGGCCATGCACTGCCCTCAGTGCAGCATCATCATGCAGAAAAAGGAGGGTTGTGATTGGTTGCGTTGCACTGTCTGTCACACCGAGATCTGCTGGGTCACCAGAGGGCGTCGCTGGGGGCCAGGGTTAAGAGCCCGCCTCTCCTGTCTCTCTCTGTCACATTCAGTCAAGCTCTGCTCTCTCTGGTTGTGTTCCACTGCTCACCTCTAATGCAGAGATTTCCCATCTGTCTGTCTGCTACCGGTCTGATGTGCTTTTGCTCCCCCTCAGGGTCCGGGAGACACCAGCGGAGGCTGCCGCTGCAACCTCAACAACCAAAAATGTCACCAAAAGTGTCAGAACTGCCACTGAGAAAGACAATAAGGGATGTGTGTGTTGTGAGAGTGAGGTAAAAAGTTAGAATGGTAGGAGTAGGAACCAGAAACCAAAGTTGACCATGCAGGACAAATGTGTATGTCACTCAAAGGATTGATGATCTCATCACTGCACATTCAGCTCTGCACGTTTCCTGTTTGTTTTTGTTCTCCCTATAAAGTCATGCAATACTGTTCAGGGACACATTCAACTAAGTGTCCTTAACCTTTTCAGCTCTCAAAGTTAAAGTCTAATGCCAATGACACAGCATTCTGGGGTTGAAACAGAGAGCGTACTGTGTTCTGACTGGAAATAATGAAATATTTCTTAATAGAAACAGAACAAAAATAATCTCTGTTTCAAACTACATTGCGCTGTGTGTCAATTAATAACCATTTTGGAAGTACATGGGTGTTCATGTGAAATGAGTACTTTGCATTTTCTATGTTTTTGCACCTCTGAATGAATGCAAGGCTCTGTCACAGATCGGGTGTGAAGACTAAATGTTCTGTTCTATTTATGACTCACAGGCTCTTATTACAAACACATTATGAATGCCAAGAAAAAATTTACATTTACATTTTTGTCATTTAGCAGATGCTCTTATCCAGAGCGACTTACAGAGTGTATACATTATTATTTTTTCCTACTGGCCCCCCGTGGGAATCGAACCCACAACCCTGGCGTTGCAAACGCCATGCTCTACCAACTGAGCTACATCCCTGCCGGCCATTCCCACTTTGTTTGTTTTCATGGAAGAGTCAGTGGAATTGCTCAGGAGCTGCTGGTGTGACATTTTGCCTTAACAGTGTGTCAAGGCCACTAAACACGAGGCCTCACAAGACTCATCTGAAGGTACCAGTTGAAAAAATGAATGGAAATGTATGTATATATGTTATATGCCAAAAATATGGGGTTATATAAATATCACCTCTGAATGAGTAACCAAACAAAGTGTTAAATCAAAATATATTTGATATTTGAGATTCTTCAAATAGCCACCCTTTGCCTTGATGACAGCTTTGCACACTGTTGGCATTCTCTCAACCAGCTATAAAATATATTTATATTTGTTTAACACTTTTTTGGTTACTACATGATTCCATATGTGTTATTTCATAGTTTTGATGTCTTCACTATTATTCTACAATGTAAAAAATAGTAAAAAAAATAAAGAAAAACCCTTGAATTAGTAGGTGTGTTCAAACTTTTGACTGGTAGTGTAGCTTAGTAGAACTTGTTCGTTGCTTTACCACGCTTTACAGTGCGGTGGTACAAACTGAAGTTCATAAACTGTCAAGCCAGTTAGCTAGCTATTTAACTACAAAGCTAACCACCTTGCTAGATAGCTTAGCTAATAAATTGCCAGCACCTAGCTTCCACTTTCCAGCTAATTATTTCACATTCAACTGACCAGATAATCCAATCATATTGGTAATGTGTCTCCATGCGTGGAGTACCCGGTAGCAACCGGCGCTTTGGTCGAACACCGCAGGGAACCCAGAGACAGCATTCCGGCGGAAGTCATTAATTGTCAATGGAGCAGTCCGCAGCGCTACGTTGGGGATGCCACGCTAGGCTGCAGTGCGTTCTGTGTACCGCATGAGTTCAATAGTTTCAACTTGAGCGTTGCTTTACCGTGCTGTGGTACAAACGGAAGTACACACACATACTCTAACTAGTTAGCTTTTAGCTAGTTGAAAAGCGAAGCACGTGTATGAAAAATGCGGGACACCATGGTGACATTGCTAGATATGGCTCGGAAAACATACCTCAATTCAGGAATGAGAAATGCGTTTTACTCCGAATTGTACCATTATTCCAACTGTTACACCGAGAAGATTAAACAACTGCTAGAAAACTAGCAGTTCAATCTTCTTCGTGTAGTTGGGATAATGGGACAATTCAGAATACAACGCATTTCTCATCCCTGGATTGAGGTAAATGTTCGGAGCCATATCTTGCACCGGCTCTGTGTTTTCTTAATCTGTTGGGTCCTAGTGCAGTTGTAAGTAAGTGGGTCGGCTCTGCTGGTTATTGACCATATACCACACCCCCTCGGGCCTTATTGCTTAATTATAAACCGGTTGGTACTAGCCCTGAATGCTGATTGGCTGACAGCCATGGTATACCATGGGTATGACAAAACATTTATTTTTACTGCTGTAATTACATTGGTAACCTCTGGGGTTTGTGATATATGGCCAATATACCACTGCTAAGGGCTGTGTCAATGCACTCTGCGTTGCGTCGTGCTTAAGAACAGCCCTAAGCCATGGTATATTGGCCATATACCACACCCCCTCAGGCCTTATTGCTTAAATAAATCTGCATGTGCATAACTATAGATACATCTGACAGGAGAGTTTGAGTAATGAAAGTTGGATAGAGGATCTTGGCACTGAAAATTGCCCCCAAAAGGTTCTTCCAAGAACCCAATAGGAGGTGGGTTTCATCGCTGAACCTCCTTAGTGGGTTGGGGTTCTTGTAGGAACCTAACTGCCCAACTGAAACATTTGGATTTGAATTTGGAAGGACAGCAGGTGCAGGCACTTAACTAAAAAATGTAAAGATCGCCTCAATTTATGGTAAGGTTTGTCCCTTGTATGATCTAAATTGATAGATGTTATCATCATATAACAATATATTTTCATATTTGTGCAAATCTTTCTAAAACAGAAAATGGACACAATTCAATGGATATCAATCAACAAAGAGGTAAGAATATGTAGGCTATAAGAATATGTTGAAGGCTAGCTGTATTGGGTGCAGATGAATGAACTGCTCACTTTTGTGTCAGTGTCTGCAGGTATACAGATGAGGAGGCATACAAAGATATGTCTATTGGTATGTTATGCAGATCACATGTACCATTCTCCTCCCTTACCTCTTCAATGAAAATCCCATAGGCAAGGAGGACAAGGTATGTGTATTAAAACCATTATCAAAACAGTTTTTTTTTTATTAACGTTTACCATAAAAACCAAGGTATGAAAACTGTTGTGTGCATGCTTTGTTAAACATCTGTATAATTAAAAAATGTTGGATTCACAGACTTTACCCTCCCTACACCTCTGATGAATATAACAGGAAACATGTTCGATCACCATGGACTGTAAAATCATTCTGGCTATGGATACAGAGAACATCAACACATTAACATCAACACGCCAGAGGATATACCCATTGGACTTGGGGCTCTGCTGGGAGTTGACCTTTAATTAGATTTTTTTTTATTCTGCTTTGCCACTAAAATCATAAACACTGGCAACTAAAATATTGTGTTATTGTTATGCTTATTATTATGATTATTATTATTATTATTATTATTAATAATAATATTAAGGGAGGGGGGTAGTTAACATAACCCCAAAGGGTTCTTCAAAAGGTTCTTTGAGGATCCATTAAAAGGGGTTATTTTGAAGAACTTATAGGGGTTCCCCCACAGTTTCAATTTGAAGAACCCCTAAAGGATACTCCAGGAAACTTTTCTAACTAATTTTTAGAGTGCAGCGCCTACAATCTATGTGCAGCGCTCTCTCAACCAGTGCTCTCAACACACACACACTCCTCTGACCCTCATCACTCACTCACTCAGTAACAGCCTACTCACTGCCTGATAGTCAGCAGCAACTGTTCACAGTATTATATATATCATCGTTTTTTGTTGTTGTTGTTGAGAAATGCCATGGCGGCCACTGTGAAATTTAGAAGTAGCCCAAAAACCTGCAACCAATACATTTTCACCCGCAACATCATTTTCAAAGGTGCCCAATTTATGAGAAAGCCATGGGGAAAATAACATACATGGCAACCCTGCCTGTGTAACAGTGTTGCTTCCGTCCCTCTCCTCGCTTGAACCAGGGACCCTCTGCACACATCGACAACAGTTACCCTCGAAGCACCGTTACCCGTCGCTCCACAAAAGCTGCGGCCGTTGCAGAGCAAGGGAAACAACTACTTCAAGGTCTCAGAGCGAGTGACGTCACCGATTGAAACGCTATTAGTGCGCACCGCTAACTAGCTAGCCATTTCACACCGGTTACACCTGCAGCTCACGAACACATGGACATGGCAACCCTGCCTGCAGCTTGTGAACACATGGACATGGCAACCCTGCCTGCAGCTCGTGGACACATGGACATGGCAACCCTGCCTGCAGCTCGTGGACACGTGGACATGGCAACCCTGCCTGCAGCTTGTGAACATCTCTTCCAGAGCCTGAAGGCACTCAGCAAGAGAAGATTCTGAAAATAGAAAAGCTTAATATGAAGAAGATTAAAAGCCATGTCCCTGGTGCTTGCTAGTTTGAGGGGAGTCATCACTGGGGTCCCAATATCTATGTCTATAGATTATATTAAAGACAATGTGAAGGGAGGAAGAGTGATCGAGGCCAAAAGGTTGATCAGTAGGAAAGAGGGTCAAAGAAGTGAAAGCTTATCAGTGCTGCTGAGGTTTGAGAAGGTTTTGCCTGGAAAAGTACAGATAGGATTCCTTAGTTTCAATGTCAGAGAATTTGTCCCATCCCCATTGCGGTGTTTTAAATGCCAAAGAATGGGACATGTAGCTGTTCAATGTAAGGAAAGGAAAATATGTGCCAAGTGTGGAGGGGAACACGATTACGGTGAATATGGGAGTAAAGTTAAGTGTTGTAATTGTGGGGGAGAACACAGTGCAGCATTTGGTGGATGCCAGGTGCAGAGAGAGGCTAGAGAGGCTCAGAGATATAGAATCAGTCATGATGTATCGAATACAGAGGCCATAAAACAGATTGGTGGAACTACAGTGTGGAATGATGGAGCTTCCATGGCTGCTCCTGTACTAAGCGGACCAAATGTCGGCGCTGGTGTTTCTGCTGGTCCTGGCATGGTTTCGATGCCTGTGGTAGAAGTTAGTAGGGATTTATTTTATTTGTATTTTATTTTCATGGCAGTACAGAATTGGGCAGATCGTAATTTATCGTACATTCCAGCACAGTAGGTGGCGGCATGCACTTAGCCTAAACGTTTGTTTGCGGTCCGCTGTGATATCGAAGAAGAGCAAGGGGGTGGAGTGTTGTGTTTACCAAATTAGAAACCGTACTGACTTTGGCAACCAGAGTAGAGAGCTGCCTCCTTGCGGTAAGAGTGATGGTGAGGAAGGAGAACGGCAAAGCACGATAGACGACTGGCAACGACACATCGGATCATCAGTGATAAACCCAGAGCAAGAAGCCTCGTAAGTAGCCTAAAGATCGGAAAATTACCCACTCAACTTAAAAGCCATGCCAACTTACTACTACAACTGCAGTACAAAGTCGTCCATCGTGGATCAGTGACTTGTGAACGACCTACATAAATGAAGCAAAAATCACTAATTTGTTATTTTCATAAATTGCATCTTTATGTGTCTAACCTGTTGCCCTTCTCTCTCTCTCTCTCTCGGAACCAGATTACTGGAACTTGAGTGAGTACTTTTGTCCTTCATTTCTTCAGGATGGCAGAGACTGAAGGGAAATTTGACTTTGCCATCGACCGCGGTGGCACGTTCACCGACGTCTTTGCCCGATTACCTGACGGCCGGGAGAGGGTCCTGAAACTTCTGTCACACGACCCCCAAAACTACAAAGACGCTCCAACTGAGGGGATCCGCAGGGTTCTGGAGGAGGTGAGATGGACCTCTGGAGAGACGGGGTGGGGAGAGGAATTAAAGGACTAAGGAATAAAACGATGAGAAAGAGAGACGCGCAGTTGAAGTGGAAAGGTAGTTTATTGAGAAATGAAGACAGCAGAAAGGGTCGTTTTAGTTAAAGCTTGTCCCGCTATGTTCACAGGAGACTGGGCAGGCCTTTCCCAGGGAACAGCCCGTGGAGACGTCCCTGATTGGCTGGATCAGGATGGGCACCACGGTGGCGACCAATGCCCTGCTGGAGAGGCAAGGAGAGAGGACCGCCCTCCTGGTCACAAAGGGGTTCAAGGATCTGCTGCATATTGGCACCCAGGCCCGGCCAAAGCTCTTCGATTTGGTTAGTGCTTCTCTTAGGGTCGGCAGGTAGCTTAGTGGGTAAGAGCGTTGTGCCAGTAACCGAAAGGTCGCTGGTTCTAATCCCCGAGCCGACTAGGTGAAAAATCTGTCGATGTGCCCTTAAGCAAGGCACTTAACCCTAATTGCTCCTGTAAGTCGCTCTGGATAAGAGCGTCTGCTAAATGACTAAAATGTAAATGTAAATGTCTTTGGAATGGAGACTGGGCACAATAGAGTTTACGCTGTGAGGGCCCTTTGTTTGGGGTGGTGAGGTTGGGGTCTCGTCCCCCCTTGTCGGAGACTGACACTAATGTAATGATGAATGAATTAATGCTTGAACAATGACATACCGGCCGTGTTACTGATACGATTAACTGAGCACTGATTATATTATACACGAGTGGCAGTCGGCACTTTTCCACTACGTTGTTTGGTAACGGAATAATGCGCTCTTATCATTGAAGCTTTTTCAAATTATTCAGTAATGTTTAGGTAGACTCATTCACGACAAGTTTAAACTAAGCCAACAAAGTTAGTAAGTGATACTTTAAATTAGGATCTACAGTTGAAGTCTGTAATAAAGCCCTTTTGTGGGGAAAAACTCATTCTGATTGGCTGGGCCTGGCTCCCCAGTGGGTGGGCCTGGCTCCCAAGTGGGTGGGCCCTCCCTGGGCCCTCCCAGGCCCACCCATGACCCATCCATAAATTAGGGCCTAATTCATTTATGTCAATTGACTGATTTCCTTATATGAACTGTAATTCAGCAAAATCGTTAAAATTGTATATTTCTGTTCAGTTGAAGTTGGAAGTTTACATACACCTTAGCCAAATACATTTAAACTCAGTTTTTACACAATTCTTTACATTTAATCCTAGTAAAAATTCCCTGTCTTAGGTCAGTTAGGATCACCACTTTATTTTAAGAATGTGAAATGTCAGGATAATAGTAGAGATAATGATTTATTTCAGCTTTTATTTCTTTCATCACATTCCCAGTGGGTCAGAAGTTTACATACACTCAATTAGTATTTGGTAGCATTGCCTTTAAATTGTTTAACTTGGGTCAAACGTTTCGGGTAGCCTTCCACAAGCTTCCCACAATAAGTTGGGTTCATTTTGGCCCATTCCTCCTGACAGAGTTGGTGTAACTGAGTCAGGTTTGTAGGCCTCCTTGCTCGCACACACTTTTTCAGTTCTGCTCACAAATGTTCTATAGGATTGAGGTCAGGGCTTTGTGATGGCCACTCCAATACCTTGACTTTGTTGTCCTTAAGCCATTTTGCCACAACTTTGGAAGTATGCTTGGGGTCATTGTCCATTTGGAAGACCCATTTGCGACCAAGCTTTAACTTCCTGACTGATGTCTTGAGATGTTGCTTCAATATATCCACACAATTTTCCTTTCTCATGATGCCATCTATTTTGTGAAGTGCACCAGTCCCTCCTGCAGCAAAGCACCCCCACAGCATGATGCTGCCACACCCGTGCTTCACGGTTGGGATGGTGTGCTTCACGGTTGGGATGGTGTTCTTCGGCTTGCAAGGCTTCCCCTTTTTCCTCCAAACATAAAGATGGTCATTATGGCCAAACAGTTCTATTTTTGTTTCATCAGACCAGAGGACATTTCTCCAAAAAGTACGATCTTTGTCCCCATGTGCAGTTGCAAACCGTAGTCTGGCTTTTTTATGGCTGTTCTGGAGCAGTGGCTTCTTCCTTGCTGAGTGGCCTTTCAGGTTATGTCGATATAGGACTTGTTTTACTGTGGATATAGATACTTTTGTACCTGTTTCCTCCAGCATCTTCACAAGGTCCTTTGCTATTGTTCGATTGATTTGCACTTTTCGCACCAAAGTACGTTCAACTCTAGGAGACAGAACGCATCTCCTTCCTGAGCGTTATGATGGCTGCGTGGTCCCATGGTGTTTATACTTGCGTACTATTGTTTGTACAGATGAACGTGGTACCTTCAGGCGTTTGGAAATTGCTCCCAAGGATGAACCAGACTTGTGGAGGTCTACAATTTATTTTCTGAGGTCTTGGCTGATTTCTTTTGATTTTCCCATGATGTCAAGCAAAGAGGCACTGAGTTTGAAGGTAGGCCTTGACATACATCCACAGGTACACTTCCAATTGACTCAAATTATGTCAATTAGCCTATCAGAAACTTCTAAAGCCATGACATCATTTTCTGGAATTTTCCAAGCTGTTTAAAGGCACAGTCAACTTTGTGTATGTAAACTTCTGACCCACTGGAATTGTGATACAGTGAATTATATGTGAAATAATCTGTCTGTAAACAATTGTTGGAAAAATTACTTGTGTCATTCACAAAGTAGATGTCCTAACGACTTGCCAAAACTATAGTTTGTTAACAAAAAATGTGTGGAGTGGTTGAAAAACGAGTTTTAATGACTCCAACCTAAGTGTATGTAAACTTCCGACTTCAACTGTAATACTGCTTCAGATAAAGTCCCCATTTATTGCATCAAGGGTTTGAGAGGCAGAGCTCTGAACTGTCTCTATGTTTCTTCAAATAATACTTTTACATTGTTCTACTGTATATAAGTGTTTAGTTTAGTGGGAGTGTAGTGGTGCACATCTGGACTGTATCACTGCCCCTCAGTAGGTCTGTGTGAGATCTGTTGGAGCTACAGCTGCCCTCTCCCATCTCCTGCTGGGCTCACAGTACAGACATAATGTACATTCTGTTCCAGGAACAGGTGGGCTCGTCAGGGAGCGCTAAGGGGAATGGGAGGGACGCAAAAGGGACTGAATGAATACACCATATACTTACTGGAAGATGTGTGGCAGCATAGAATGAAAAACACACATGGATGCATGCGCATGAACAAACACTTGTGCAGACACGGAACATGCAGCTGTATCAGAAAAGCTGTTCTGTGGTCAGTTAATGGGAGGGTAGGCTATACACTGTACACATATGGGGGTTGGTCTTGGAGTTTGCCCCCAGACCTGTGTTCTGTTGTTGGTATAATTTAACGCTGTGTGTGTGTGTGTGTGTGTGTGTGTGTGTGTGTGTGTGATAAAGGAGGTAGCTGTGCCAGACGTGCTGTATGAAGAGGTGATTGAGGTCGATGAGAGGGTTGTCCTTAGACAAGATGGCTGCCAGCTACCCAGGAAAGAACCCAAGCGTATTGTCACAGGTAACAGCACTACACAGGAGCAACTTCATAACATACAGTGCATTCTGGAAAGTATTCAGACCCCTTGACTTTTTCCACATTTTGTTCCGTTACAGGCTTATTCTAAAATGGATGAAATAGTTTTTCCCCCTCATCAATACCCCATAATGACAAAGCAAAAACTGGTTTTTAGACATGTTTGCAAATCTGTGTTGTGGAAATTACCACTAAGTCCTTTCCCTGAGAGCAGTCACAGAACATCCTAACACAATAACAAGAAACAATACGCTACATGTAGTCACGCATTTGCAGAGACGCAGAGGACACAAATAATGTCCACTAAATGTGTAAAAATAATTAAACTGAAATATAACATTTACACAAGGATTCAGACCCTTTACTCAGTACTTTGTTAAAGCACCTTTGGCAGCGATTACAGCCTTGAGTCAAATCGAGTCTTCATCGGTATGACGCTACAAATCAAATGAAATCAAAATGTATTGGTCACATGCGCCGAATACAACAGGTGCAGACATTACAGTGAAATGCTTACTTACAGCCCTTAACCAACAGTGCATTTATTTTTTACAAAAAAAGTAAAAATAAAACAACAACAAAAAAAGTGTTGAGAGAAAAAAAGAGCAGAAGTAAAATAAAGTGACAGTAGGGAGGCTATATATACAGGGGGGTACCGTTGCAGAGTCAATGTGCGGGGGCACCGGCTAGTTGAGGTAGTTGAGGTAATATGTACATGTGGGTAGAGTTAAAGTGACTATGCATAAATAATTAACAGAGTAGCAGCAGCGTAAAAAGGATGGGGTGGGGGGGCAGTGCAAATAGTCCGGGTAGCCATGATTAGCTGTTCAGGAGTCTTATGGCTTGGGGGTAGAAGCTGTTAAGAAGTCTTTTGGACCTAGACTTGGCACTCCGGTACCGCTTGCCGTGCGGTAGCAGAGAGAACAGTCTATGACTAGGGTGGCTGGAGTCTTTGACAATTTTGAGGGCCTTCCTCTGACACCGCCTGGTATAGAGGTCCTGGATGGCAGGAAGCTTGGCCCCAGTGATGTACTGGGCCGTACGCACTACCCTCTGTAGTGCCTTGCGGTCGGAGGCCAAGCAGTTGCCATACCAGGCGGTGATGCAACCAGTCAGAGTTTCTCCCATTCTTCTCTGCAGATCCTCTCAAGCTCTGTCAGGTTGGATGGGGAGCGTCGCTGCACAGCTATTTTCAGGTCTCTCCAGAGATGTTCAAGTCCGGGGTTCTGGCTGGGCCACTCAATGATATTCAGAGACTTGTCCCGAAGCCACTCCTGCTGTTCCTTGGCTGTGTGCTTACGGTCATTGTCCTGTTGGAAGGTGAACCTTCGCCCCAGTCTGAGGTCCTAGTCTCCCATTCCCTGCTAGGGAAAAACATCCCCACAGCATGATCCTGCCACCACCATGCTTCACCGTAGGGATGGTCCCAGGATTCCTCCAGACGTGACGCTTGGCATTCAGGCCAAAGAGTTCAGTCTTTGTTTCATCAGACCAGAGAATCTTGTTTCTCATGGTCTGAGAGTCCTTTAGGTGCCTTTTGGCAAACTCCAAGCGGGCTGTCATGTGCCTTTTACGTAGGAGTGCGGCAGAGATGGTTGTCCTTCTGGGAAGTTCTCCCATCTCCACAGAGGAACTCTGGAGCTCTGTTGGAGTGACCATCGGGTTCTTGGTCACCTCCCTGACCAAGGCCTTTCTTCCCCGATTGCTCAGTTTGGCCGGGCGGACAGCTCTAGGAAGAGTCTTGGTGGTTCCAAACTTCTTCCATTTAAGAATGATGGAGGCCACTGTGTTCTTGGGGACCTTCAATGCTGCATAAATGTTTCCACACTATGAGGTTGGAATAATATTGTGAAAATGATGATAATGCCCTTTTAGTGTAAGAGCTGCTTGAAAAGACCTCCTGCAATGTTTGGGTGGGATAGAGTTTTGGCCTGCCTGGTGACATCACCTCTCTGCCAATAACAGCTGATTTGATTTGGTTTTGAGATAAAAAGGGCTGCTTTGGGCCTTTTACCATTAAGTCTACTACAATAGACTGGAACATTTTACAATAAACAAATTATTACACAAATTTACAGACTGAGAGTGCAGTATTCTTGACCATATCCTGTAAGATATGGAAATGATATACAGTTGAAGTCGGAGGTTTACATACACTTAGGATGGAGTCATTAAAACTTGTTGTTCAACCACTCCACACATTTCTTGTTAACAAACTATAGTTTTGGCAAGTCGGTTAGGACATCTACTTTGTGTATGACACTACCTCCTGTATCTCACACACACACACACACACACACACACACACACACACACACACACACACACACACACACACACACAGCGTTAAATTATACCAACAACAGAACACAGGTCTGGGGGCAAACTCCAAGACCAACCCCCATATGTGTACAGTGTATAGCCTACCCTCCCATTAACTGACCACAGAACAGCTTTTCTGATACAGCTGCATGTTCCGTGTCTGCACAAGTGTTTGTTCATGCGCATGCATCCATGTGTGTTTTTCATTCTATGCTGCCACACATCTTCCAGTAAGTATATGGTGTATTCATTCAGTCCCTGTTGCGTCCCTCCCATCCCCTTAGCGCTCCCTGACGAGCCCACCTGTTCCTGGAACAGAATGTACATTATGTCTGTACTGTGAGCCCAGCAGGAGATGGGAGAGGGCAGCTGTAGCTCCGACAGATCTCACACAGACCTACTGAGGGGCAGTGATACAGTCCAGATGTGCACCACTACACTCCCACTAAACTAAACACTTATATACAGTAGAACAATGTAAAAGTATTATTTGAAGAAACATAGAGACAGTTCAGAGCTCTGCCTCTCAAACCCTTGATGCAATAAATGGGGACTTTATCTGAAGCAGTATTACAGTTGAAGTCGGAAGTTTACATACACTTAGGATGGAGTCATTAAAACTCGTTTTTCAACCACTCCACACATTTTTTGTTAACAAACTATAGTTTTGGCAAGTCGTTAGGACATCTACTTTGTGAATGACACAAGTAATTTTTCCAACAATTGTTTACAGACAGATTATTTCACATATAATTCACTGTATCACAATTCCAGTGGGTCAGAAGTTTACATACACAAAGTTGACTGTGCCTTTAAACAGCTTGGAAAATTCCAGAAAATGATGTCATGGCTTTAGAAGTTTCTGATAGGCTAATTGACATAATTTGAGTCAATTGGAAGTGTACCTGTGGATGTATTTCAAGGCCTACCTTCAAACTCAGTGCCTCTTTGCTTGACATCATGGGAAAATCAAAAGGAATCAGCCAAGACCTCAGAAAATAAATTGTAGACCTCCACAAGTCTGGTTCATCCTTGGGAGCAATTTCCAAACGCCTGAAGGTACCACGTTCATCTGTACAAAAAATAGTACGCAAGTATAAATACCATGGGACCACGCAGCCGTCATACTGCTCAGGAAGGAGATGCGTTCTGTCTCCTAGAGTTGAACGTACTTTGGTGCGAAAAGTGCAAATCAATCCCAGAACAACAGCAAAGGACCTTGTGAAAGATGCTGAAGGAAACAGGTACAAAAGTATCTATATCAATAGTAAAACGAGTCCTATATCGACATAACCTGAAAGGCCGCTCAGCAAGGAAGAAGCCATTGCTCCAGAACCGGCATAAAAAAGCCAGACTACGGTTCACAACTGCACATGGGGACGAAGATCGTACTTTTTGGAGGAATGTCCTCTGGTCTGATTAAACAAAAATAGAACTGTTTGGCCATAATGACCATCTTTATGTTTGGAGGAAAAAGGGGAAGGCTTGCAAGCCGAAGAACACCATCCCAACCGTGAAGCACGTGGGTGGCAGCATCATGCTGTTGGGGTGCTTTGCTGCAGGAGGGACTGGTGCACTTCACAAAATAGATGGCATCATGAGGAAGGAAATGTATGTGGCTATATTGAAGCAACATCTCAAGACCTCAGTCAGGAAGTTAAAGCTTGGTCGCAAATGGGTCTTCCAAATGGACAATGACCCCAAGCATACTTCCAAAGTTGTGGCAAAATGGCTTAAGGACAACAAAGTCAAGGTATTGGAGTGGCCATCACAAAGCCCTGACCTCAATCCTGTAGAAAATGTGTGGGCAGAACTGAAAAAGCGTGTGCGAGCAAGGAGGCCTACAAACCTGACTCAGTTACACCAGCTCTGTCAGGAGGAATGGGCCAAAATTCACCCAACTTATTGTGGGAAGCTCGTGGAAGGCTACACGAAACATTCGACCCAAGTTAAACAATTTTAAAGGCAATGCTACCAAATACTTCTGACCCACTGGGAATGTGATGAAAGAAATAAAAGCTGAAATAAATCATTCTCTCTACTATTATTCTGACATTTCACATTCTTAAAATAAAGTGGTGATCCTAACTGACCTAAAACAGGGAATTTTTACTAGGATTAGATGTCAGGAATTGTGAAAACATGAGTTTAAATGTATTTGACTAAGGTGTATGTAAACTTCTGACTTCAACTGTAGATATGTTTCCTGATCCAACTGAGGCACTGGCAATGACAGATAAGGAGAGCTGTTTCACCACATACAGTTTTCAGATGCAAATTCCTCCACAGGAGTATTCTCTCCTGTTTGTCAAGTTTATGACTGGTTTGAGTGGTAACTGCTTGGGTTAATAATTTGCATCCACACACACACACCTGTCCCTTACCTCTGCCCTGTGTCTCTGTCCTCCAGGCAGTACAGGGGACTCCCTGGAGGTGTGGCGTGAGCTGGACATGCAGCGTGTGGAGGAGGACCTGAGAGGAGTCCTGTCCCGGGGGATCAGCAGCCTGGCTGTTCTGCTGCTGCACTCCTACACGTCAGTATACTGCCAGCCCAGGGAGCAAGAGTTTCTCCCACTTTACTAGCTTTAAAGATTGTTGTTGGTGTGTGTGTGTGTGTGTGTGTGTGTCTAGTTGCTGGTGTCAGATTGGGTGTTTTTCTTGGTGTGGGATCACTGCGGTCTATGTGGAAGGCCATCAACAGTCAGTCTGAGAATGGTAAAGGAAGACTGGGCCTCTTCTCTTTCACTGCACTTTTCTCCTGCCATTTAGAAAGTTGAGTTTCTTGTGTATTGACTTACAGGGTTCTTTCTACTCCCAGTTTCAAACTGTAAAGTAATTAAAGTCGCTGGATGTAAGTATGAAAATGTATGCACTCACTAACTGTAAGTCGCTCTGGATAAGAGCGTCTGCTAAATTACTAAAATGTAAGTACGGTGAGGGGAAAAAAGTATTTGATCCCCTGCTGATTTTGTACGTTTGCCCACTGACAAAGACCTGATCAGTCTATAATTTTAATGGTAGGTTTATTTGAACAGTGAGAGACAGAATAACAACAACAAAATCCAGAAAAACGCATGTCAAAAATGTTATAAATTGATTTGCATTTTAATGAGGGAAATAAGTATTTGACCCCTCTGCAAAACATTACTTAGTACTTGGTGGCAAAACCCTTGTTGGCAATCACAGAGGTCAGATGTTTCTTGTAGTTGGCCACCAGGTTTGCACACATCTCAGGAGGGATTTTCTCCCACTCCTCTTTGCAGATCTTCTCCAAGTCATTAAGTTTTCGAGGCTGACGTTTGGCAACTCGAACCTTCAGCTCCCTCCACAGATTTTCTATGGGATTAAGGTCTGGAGACTGGCTAGGCCTCTCCAGGACCTTAATGTGCTTCTTCTTGAGCCACTCCTTTGTTGCCTTGGCCGTGTGTTTTGGGTCATTGCTGGAATACCCATCCACGACCCATTTTCAATGCCCTGGCTGAGGGAAGGAGGTTCTCACCCAAGATTTGACGGTACATGGCCCCGTCCATCGTCCCTTTTGATGCGGTGAAGTTGTCCTGTCCTCTTAGCATAAAAACACCCCCAAAGCGTAATGTTTCCACCTCCATGTTTGACGGTGGGGATGGTGTTCTTGGGGTCATAGGCAGCATTCCTCCTCCTTCAAACACGGCGAGTTGAGTTGATGCCAAAGAGCTCGATTTTGGTCTCATCTGACCACAACACTTTCACCCAGTTCTCCTCTGAATCATTCAGATGTTCATTGGCAAACTTCAGACGGGCCTGTATATGTGCTTTCTTGAGCAGGGGGACCTTGCGGGCGCTGCAGGATTTCAGTTCTTCACGGCGTAGTGTGTTACCAATTGTTTTCTTGGTGACTATGGTCCCAGCTGCCTTGAGATCATTGACAAGATCCTCCCGTGTAGTTCTGGGCTGATTCCTCACCATTCTCATGATCATTGCAACTCCACGAAGTGAGATCTTGTATGGAGCCCCAGGCCGAGGGAGATTGACAGGTATTTTGTGTTTCTTCCATTTGCGAAATATCGCACCAACTGTTGTCACCTTCTCACCAAGCTGCTTGGCGATGGTTTTGTAGCCCATTCCAGCCTTGTGTAGGTCTACAATCTTGTCCCTGACATCCTTGGAGAGCTCTTTGGTCTTGGCCATGGTGGATAGTTTGGAATCTGATTGATTGATTGCTTCTGTGGACAGGTGTCTTTTTATACAGGTAACAAGCTGAGATTAGGAGCACTCCCTTTAAGAGTGTGCTCCTAATCTCAGCTCGTTACCTGTATAAAAGACACCTGGGAGCCAGAAATCTTTCTGATTGAGACGGGGTCAAATACTTATTTCCCTCATTAAAAAGCAAATCAATTTATAACATTTTTGACATGCGTTTTCTGGATTTTTTTGTTGTTATTCTGTCTCTCACTGTTCAAATACCTACCATTAAAATTATAGATTGATCATTTCTTTGTCAGTGGGCAAACGTACAAAGTCAGCAGGGGATCAAATCATTTTTTCCCTCACTGTACATTATGAAGGCACCTTCAGAACTCTCTGGCTTAATGCCATGTCTGATAACCACAGAACACACAAGCTTTCAATAGGAGGGAGTGCACTGAAAGGCTTTTCAAGAAAACAATGTATGAGTTAATGAGTCAACTTTGCAGTTTGCCTTACAGTACTATATGTTGGACAGGAACATAATGGAATGAAACTGATGTGTGAGATGACTCCTCCCTCTCTTTGTATGTCAGGTGGTCTGCCCATGAGAAGGCTGTTGGGTCATTGGCGCGCAGGCTGGGTTTCAACCAGGTGTCCCTGTCCAGTGAGGTAATGCCCATGGTGAGGGCAGTGCCACGCGGGTACACCGTGTGCGCCGATGCCTACCTCACACCTAAAATCCGCCAGTACTTGAAAGGCTTCACCTCTGGCTTCAGAGGCGGACTGGAGGTTAGTCTGTGTTTTGTTATATTAGCATAATGTTATGTAGCTGTATTTACTGAGCACTCATAGGTGTGCAGAGAGATCATGCTCTCACTCAGTCACATTCTGTATAGCTACACACCTTGAAATGACTGCCTCTCTCAACCTCCTGGACTCCCTCCCCTCTCTCAACCTCCTGGACTCCCTCCCCTCGCTCAACCTCCTGGACTCCCTCCCCTCTCTCAACTTCCTGGACTCCCTCCCCTCTCTCAACCTCCTGGACTCCCTCCCCTCTCTCAACCTCCTGGACTCCCTCCCCTCTCTCAACCTCCTGGACTCCCTCCCCTCTCTCAACTTCCTGGACTCCCTCCCCTCTCTCAACCTCCTGTACTCCCTCCCCTCTCTCAACCTCCTGGACTCCCTCTCCTATCTCAACCTCCTGGACTCCCTCTCCTCTCTCCTGTAGGGTGTGAGTGTTCTCTTCATGCAGTCTGATGGAGGTCTCACCCCCATGGAGCAGTTCTGTGGGTCCCGGGCGGTGCTGTCTGGGCCTGCGGGGGGCGTGGTGGGCTACGCCATCACCTCCTACAGCCAGACCGAGAACAAGCCCGTCATCGGGTTCGACATGGGGGGTGAGGAGGAGCACAGGAAGGAGTATGAAAAATGACCAGAAACGCGCCAATACTACTGTTTGTACATTTTGAGACTGCGTAGCCAGTGTACACTTCCTCAAAAGAGTCAGAATTAATCTAATATAACTCAAGAAATCTGTGATTCATTTTGAAGTTTTTGCCAAGGAGATGTTAGTCTAACTAAGATGTTTGTTGCAGTATTTCTCAATGAAAAAATATGCATGAAAACGAGTTGTCTCATTGAATGACAACAAAGACTTTATTGAAGAATCCCTACTGTTGACCAATCACTGACGAAGGGGGGTAGACTTTAGCTACCGACTTCGGCTTGCCTCCAGAAAGAAAATGGTGTGCCCGAACAGCCGAAAAAACCCTCACCGAAGTCCAAAACGAACAAAAACATCACAAAATGTCGTCATAATAAATGCATGAACTCTTCCAAACTATTTTGGCTGGGAAGCATTCAGACACCTTAAGGGGTTGTTGACTTTGAGAGAGTGGTGTGAACTAAAGGGTTAAAAAGGAAAGAATCATAGCAGGAAGCATGAAACAGAAGAATGGGGAATGGTACTGATTGATGTTAGACAAAGGCTTCTTTGAAGCCCTTGATGACTAAATCCCACATTATTCGCTAATACTGGGCTGATGAAGTCCTAGCGTTCCATCATCTAGGGAATATACTGCTCTTGTATACTCTTCATGTCCCTAACAGCTACTCTGGGCTGCTCGTGCCCCCTTTAGGCACGTCTACAGATGTGAGTCGCTACGCGGGTCAGTATGAGCACGTGTTTGAGGCCACCACGGCCGGGGTCACCCTGCAGGCCCCTCAGCTAGACATCAACACCGTAGCAGCAGGTGGCGGTTCCTGCCTCTTCTTCAGGTCAGTCAGGACAACAGGTTCACACACAGCATGGTTCAAACACACCAGAAATATGGACTTTCAGCATACTGTATGTTTACATAGACTTCACTGGACACAGTCTGTTGCTTGAAGGTCTGGGAAGTAAAATATATATTATTTTCTCGTGTGTGTGTGTGATTTATGCTCAGACGGTTCTTCAATAGCTAAACCATTAACCCACAGTTACTGCCTATGACGCTAGTAGACAAACATTGGTTGGCAATGTATAACTTCCACAGGGAATGACTGTGTATGTGGTGGAAGTCAATCTAGTCTACAGGGAGGGACATTATAGTCGTGACCTTACGAATCTCCCCTCTTTGTCCCCAGGTCAGGAATGTTTGTTGTGGGGCCAGAGTCTGCTGGTGCCCATCCAGGACCAGCCTGCTACAGAAAGGGTAGGAATACTGCCCCCCACCCCTTCGCTCGCTCGCTCGCTCTCTCTCTCAATTCAATTAAATTCAATAGACTTTATTGACATGGCAAGTTAAATTACTTGCATTGTCAAAGTATACATATAACAAAAATGGTGGGACCAACAGCAATAATAATAATAGTAGTAGTGGAAATGGGATTACCATTAACAGCAACTACAACAACAATATTAATGAGAATAACAATACATTAAAGCAATAGTAGTCGACCAGTCTCAACATGACTGAGAAGACACATTACATGGTATGAAAGCCAAAACAAAACAGGAAATATTTTTTGACATTACATTACACTTTTCACTGGCTGTCCCTCAGGTTTAGGCAGGAGGACACATATTTGGCTGCCAAAACTGCACATTTAGGCTTTTCACCCAATAAATATTTGATTTATTCTTCCTCTTTTTATAGTTTCAAATTCGTTGTACTGAATGATAATTTTGGGAAAGAAAGATTATCTTAGGTCTGAGTATTTGTCACAGTGTAATAGGAAATGCAGCTCTGTCTCTACCTCTCCCCGGGGGCAGAGTGAGCACAGCCTGTCCTCTCTGGGCAGCCAGGTTTGCCTGTGACGATCGGTCTCTATAGCCAGACTGTGCTCACTGAGTCTGTAACTAGTCATTGTTTTCCTCAGTTTTCTATCAGTCACAGTGGTCAGATAGTCTGCCACCATGTACTGTCTGTTTAGAGCCAAATAGCATTGAAGTTTACTTAGATTTTTTGTGGTGTCTTTACAATAGGTGATATATTTCTATTTTTGCTTTGTGATGATTTGGTTGAGTGCTGTCCTGAGGCTCAGTGAGATTGGTTTTGGTTAGTGAACTTAGCCTCAGAACCAGCTGGCTGAGGGGACTCTTCTCTTGTTTCATCTCTTGACATAGTAGAGCTGTGTGATGGAATGTTTTGGGGTCACTTGTTTTTAGATGGTTGTAAAATTTGATGGCTCTTTTTTCTATTCGAATAAGGAGGTGGTATTGGCCCAATTCTGCTCTACATGCGTTATTTTGAGTTTTTCTTTGCACTTGCAATACAGTCTTGCAAAACTCTGCATGGAGTATTTCGATTGGATGTTTGTCCCATTTGGTAAATTCAGTATTAGAGAGCGGACCCCATACTTTGCTGCCATATAGAGCAATTGGTTCTATAACTGATTGGAAAATGTTGAGCCAGATTCTAATTGGAATTTCGATTTTAATATTCATTTTAATGGCATAGAATGCTCTTCTTGCTTTGTCTCTCAGCTCATTCACAGCCATGTGAAAGCTACCTGTGCTACCTGATATTTAGTCCTAGATACGTGTAATTTTTGGTGTGTTCTAATAGAACTGTGTCCAAATATAATTTATATTTGTCATCCTGATTTCCAGACCTTTTTTGGAATATCTCTCTCTCTCTGTCTCTCTCTGTCTCTCCTGTCTTCTGTCCTGTCTGTCTGTCTGTCTGTCTGTCTGTCTGTCCTGTCTGTCTGGTCTGTGTCGTCCTATCTTTCTGTTGTCTGTCGTGTCTCTCTCTGTCTGTTGTCCTGTCTGTTGTATCTCTCTTTCTGTCTGTCTGGTCTGTGGTCTCTCTATTTCTGTCTGTATGTCTGTGTCTCTTCTCTTTCTGTCTGTGGTATGTGGTCTTCTCTTGCTTGTCTGTCTGTCGGTGTATCTCTCTTTCCTGTCGTCTGTCTGTGTCTCTCTCATTTCTGTCTTTCTGTCTCTCTATTTCTGTCTCTCTCTTTGTCCTATGCCGCTTCTGTTCTCTATCTCTCTCTCTCTTCCTTTGTAATCTCTGTCTTTGTCTATCTGTCTCTCTCTCTCTCCTCTCTCTCTCTTCGTATACTCACTGTCTATTGTGATATCTCTATCATCTGTCTATCTTCTCTCTTCTCTCGTGGTATCTCTCTCTGTTGTGTCTCTCTCGTCCCTCTGTGTCTCTGTCTGTCGTCTCTCTCTCTCTCTCTCTCTCCCTCTCTCTCTCTCTCTATCTGTCGGTCTGTCTATGGGTCATCTCTCTGTCTCTCTGCTGTCTCTCTGTCTCTGTCTCTCTCTCTCTGGTGTCTCTCTCTCTGTCTGTGTCTCTCTCTGTCTCTATATCTATGTATCTCCTGTGTATATCTCTCTGTATCTCTCTCTGTGTCTTTGTCTCTGTTCTCTCTCTGTATTCTGTCTCTCTCTCTCACTCTCTCTGGTCTCTATCTGGTCTTGGTCTCTCCCTGGTTCAGGTCTCTGTCTCATCTATTGGTCTCTCTCTCTTTCTCTATCTCTATGTCTTTGTTCTCTCTCTTATTGGATATCTCTGTCTATATATTTTGTCTCGCTCTCTGGATTTCTCTGGCAAGCTTGGATGACGGGAAACGAGGGGGATCATCTCCCGCGAACGCGGTCTTTTTCTCTCCGATATGTCTCTATTTGTGTTGGTCTACTCTCTCTTTATGTCTCTCTCTCTCTGTATTTGTCTCTGTCTTGTCTCTCTGTCCTTGTCTCTCTCTCTGTGTCTCTCTCTCTTCTCTCTCTGTTCTGTGTATCTCTCTGTCTCTGTATGTCTGTTTGTCTATCTATGTCTCTCTCTGTATCTGTCTCTCTCTGTCTCTGTGTATCTCTGTTATGTGTATCTCCTCTCTCTGTCTGTTCTCCCCGTTCTCTTTGTCTTATGTCTTTGTCTATGTCTCTCTATCTCCTGTTCTGTCTCTGTCTCTTGTCTATTGTTTCTCTGTCTCGTGTCTCTCTCTCTTCTCTCTGTGTGCTCTCTCTATGTCTTTGTTCTCTCTCTCTTGTCTTTGTCTCTCTCTCGGTCTCTCTCTCTGTCTTGCTAGTCTGTGTCTCTCTCGCACTCTATGGATCTCTCTATTCTCTTCCTCCTACTCCCTCTTCTCTCTCTCTCTCTCTCTCTCTCTCTCTCTCTGTCTTTGTCTCTCTGTCTCTCTCTCGCTCTCGGGTTCTTCTCTGTGTTTCCTCTATCTGTGTCTCTCTCTTGTCTTTCTTGTCTCTATTCTCTATTGTCTACGTCTTTTCTATCTTGTCTTCTCTCTCTCTTTTCTGTATCTCTTCTCTCTCTGGTGTTGTCTAGGTCTGTCACTATATGTCTTGGTGTCTCTATGTTGGCGGTTGTGGTTTGGTCTCTGTTTCTCGTCTTTGTCTCTCTGTGTCTTTGTCTCTCGTGTCTCTGTCTCTCTCTTTGTCTCTCTCTTCTGTCTTCTCTCTCTGTCGTGTATATCTCGTTGTCGTCTCTCTATATCTGCTCTCTCCGTATCTGTATCTTCTCTCTCTATGGTCTATCGGTCTCTCTGCCGGTCTCTGTATATCCGCTCTTGTCTGTCGCTCTCGCCTCGTCTTCTCTTCTGTCTCTCTAGCTCTGTCTCTCTCGCTACTTCTCTTCTCCGCTCTCGCGCTCTCTTCTTGTCTGTTTCTCGCCTCTCTCTGTCTGTCTGTCTGTCCTCTCTTCTCCTGTCTTGTTCTCTCTCTCTGTCTCTCTCTATCGTCAGTTCTCTCCTCTGTCTCTCTTCGTCTGTATCGCTCACTCTGTCTCTCTATCGCTCTGTCTCTCTCTCGCTCTCGCGCTCTGTCTCTCTCCTCGCCTTCTCTCCTTGTATCCCGTCTGTCTCTCTCTCTTCCTATTTCGAATACCGCTCTGTACTGTCTCTCTCTCCTAGCTCTGTCTGTTTCTCGCGCTCTATCGCTCTGTCTCTCGCTCTCTCGCTCGGTCTCCTCTCGCCTCTGTCTATAGCTCTCTCTTCGTCTCTCCTCTCTCTTCGCTCTGTCTGTCTCCTGTCTCTCTCGCTCTGTCTCTCTCTCGCTCGCTTCCTTTCGTTCTCATTGCTCTCTATCTCTCGCTCTCTTCGCTATGTCTTCTCGCTCTGTCTCTCTCGTCTCTCTCGCTCTGCTCTGTGTATCTCTCGCTCTGTCTCTGTCTCTCTCGCTCTCTAGCTCTGTCTCGGTCTCTCTCGCTTCTCGCCTCTGTCTCTGTCTCTCTCGCTCTGTCACTCTCGCTCTGTCTCTATTCACTCCGTATGTATGTCTCTCTCTATGTCTCGTCGTCTCTCTCTCGCTCTGTCTGTCTCTCTATCGCTCTGTCTGTTAGCGCTATTGTCGTTCTCGCTCTGTCTTTCCTTAGCTCTGTCTGTCTCTCCGGCTCTTATCGCTCTGTCGTCTCTTCTCTTCTCGCTTGTCTGTTCTATTCTCTGCTCTGTCTTTGTCTCTCGCTCTCGCTCTGTTCTGTTTATCGCTCTGCTGTTATTCGCTCTGTCCTGTCGTCTCGCTTTCTGTCTGTCCTCTAGCTCTCCGCTCTGTCTGTCTCCGCTCTGGCGTTTTTCTCGGCTCTTGGGATCTCTCTCTCGTCTCTCTAGTACTCCTGTCTGTCTCTTCTCGCGTCCTGTCGTTCTCTGACCTCGCTCGCTTGTCTATCGCTATGTTCTGTCTCGCTCTCGTTTCCCTCGTCTCGCTCGCGATCTTGTTGTCTACGCTCTGTCGTTCCTCGCTCTGTCTGTTCCGCTCTCCGCTCTGTCTCTATCGCTCTTGAGCTCTGTCTATCTCGCGCTGTTCTATCGCTCTCTCGCTCTGTCTCTCTCGCTTGTTCTCTCTCTTCTCGCTCCCTTCGCCTTTTTCTTGTCTCTCTTCTCTTGTCGCTCTCGCTCGTCTCTGTTCTCCTCTCGCTCTGTCTCTGCCTCTCTCGCTCTCTAGCTCGGTCTCTTCTCTCTCGCTCTGTCGCTCTGTCTGTGTCTCGCTCTGTCTCCTCTCGCTCTGCTGTCTCTCTCTCGCATCTGTCTGTCTCTCTCGCTATGTATGTCTCTCTTCGCTCTTCTGTCTTCTCTCGCTCTGTCCGTCTCGCTCTCGCTCTGTCTGTCCTCTTAGCTAGTCTGTCTCTCGCTCTCGCTCTGTTAGTCTCTTCGCTCCTCCGCTCTGTCTGTCTTCGGCTCTCTCGCTCTTGTCTGTCTACGCTCACTCGCTCTGTCGTCTCTCCGCTATCGCGCTGTCATGTCCTCGCTCCTCTAGCTCTGTCTGTTCTCGCTCTGTCTGCTTCGCTTAGGTCTCTCTCGATATATCTCGCCTTCTGTATCTCTCTATCTCTCGCACCCCCCCTTGTATATCTCTTTATGTCTATTCTCTCGTCTCGCTCTGTTCTCGATAGTCTCCTCTATCGCTTCTGTCTCTCTCTCGATTCTGTCTCTCTCGCTCTGTTCTCTCTCTCTTCGCTCGTCTCTTCTCTATCTCAGATCTGTCTGTCGATATCGGCTCTGTCTGTAGCTTCTGCTCTGTCTGTGCTCTCTCTCTGTCTCTCTTCGCTACTGTATGTCTTCTCGCTCCTGTCTGTCTGTCTCTCTCTCTCGCTCTGTCTGTCTCTAGCTTATGTTCTGTCTCAGCTCTGTGTCTCTCTCTCTCTCGCTTCTGTCTCTCTCGCCTAGGTCTCTCTCTCTAGCTTGTATCTCTCTCTCGATCTCTTTCCGCTCTATCGACTATGTCTCTCTCTCGCGCTCTGGCTCTCTGTCTCTCTATCGTTGGCTCTCTGTCTCTTCTCGCTCTGTCTCTCTGTCCTCTCGCTTAGTCTTCGTCTCTCCTCTCTCGCTTCTGTGTCATCTCTCGCTCTGTCTCGGTCTCTCTCTCTCGCTCTGGCTCTCGGTCTATCTCTCCTCGCTCTGTGGCTCTCCGATCTCTTGCTCGATGTGTCTCTTCTCATCTGTGGAATAGAGCTGTTTCCCTTTTCTCCCCGACACCAGATTTCTGTCCTGAAACGTTCCACTGGAGTTAATGAAAATGTACAGACCATCTTTAACATCGTACAGCACAAAACTTTTTTCCCTTGTCTGGTTCCCTTTTCCAACCCCTCTCTAGATTCGCATGGTGTGGCCAAGGGATAGGTTTATACAAGTTGGAAGAAAGTCGTAACTCACCAATTCCAAACACGAAAGGAAATTAGTAAAACAACAGCTCTACATACAGCTCTAGTGAAGTAGTAAAACCTACAAAACCATGTTGTGTTCTCCTGCTACTGTTGGTATGGTATGCCCCTGCTACGTTTGTATGGTCTATGCCTCCCTGCTATGTTGGTATGGTATGCCTCCTTGCTTGGTGGTTTTATGGCTATCGCCTCCCTGGTATGTTGGTATGGTATGCTCCGATACTGTTGGCTATGGATGCCCTGCTACTGTTTGGTATGGTATGTCATGTTAATGTGTATTGTATGCCTCCTGCTACTGTTGGTATGGTATGCCTCCTGCTACTGTTGGTATGGTATGCCTCCTGCTATGTTGGTATGCTTGCCTCCGCTACCCTGTTGGCCTTGGTATGCCTCGCTACTGTTGGTATGGTATGCTCCCCTGGATATGTTGGTAGGTATGCCTCCGCTACTGTGCGGATGGTATGCCGCGGCTCTGTTGGTATGGTATGCCTCCTGATACTGTTGGTATGGTTGCCTCATTCTACCCGTTGGTACTTAATATGTTTTATGCCTCCATGATACTTGTTGGTATGGATGCCTCTTGCTTACTGTGTATTCTTTAGGATGCACTCCGTAGGCCTTGAGTATGGTATGCATCATGCTATGGTTGGTATGGTAGGCCCTCCTCCTTGCTAGGTGGTATGGTATGACTCATGTACTGTTGGTAAGGGTAGAATCTGTACTGTTGGTATGGTATGCCTAGATACGTTGCCTATTGGTAGCCTAATGATCCTCTGCGTGTGGTATGGTATGCCTCCTGCTATGGTTGTGTGGAAGTGTGCTATTTATAGTATTGCCTACATTATGAACACTTATGCTTTGGTAATACTGCACAGAAGACATCAATCTGTGAGTTGTAGAGTGTGATCAAAGGCCTGGTGTAATGTTTAGGTATTCCTATATGATCTTCATAGGTGGTCCTCTGACGGTGACGGATGCCAACCTGGCTCTGGGCCGCCTGCTCCCCTCCTTCTTCCCCAGGATCTTTGGTCCAGGAGAGGACGAGCCTCTGTCCAGCGAGGAAACCATGGATCACTTCCACCAGCTCACCCGCGAGATCAACCACTTCCTCTCCACCAACCAATCCCAGAGCAGCGCCAACGGATGCGGCCATTCAAACAGCAGGGTCATGAGCGGCAAATCAGAGATGAGCATGGAGGAGGTTGCTATGGGTTTCATCAGAGTGGCCAACGAGGCCATGTGTCGTCCAATCAGAGCACTGACACAGGTATTGATGGGAGGGATTATGTTGATGTATTTCTTGTTTGTGTAGTATGGTGGTGTTGTTTCACTAGGGACATGCTTAGTTGAAACACTTTAACATTCAAAATGAGCAATGGAGTTTGTTATTAGACTACAGCAGCAGAGTTTGGTTTTATTCTAATTCTTTGTAAGTTATTTTTAATTTCTTTGTATTATACCCCCTTTTTCGTGGTATCCAATTGGTAGTACCGTCTGTCCCATCGCTGCAACTCCCGTAGGACACGGGAAGAGGCGAAGGTCGAGAGTTGTTCGTCCTCCGAAACACAACCCAAACTAGCCGCATGCTTCTTTGACACAGTTGCCCGCTTAACCCGGAAGCCCAGCCGGTAACACCGTACACTGGCGAACGAGTCAGCGTGCACTGCGCCCGGCCCGCCACAGGAGTCGCTAGTGCATGATGAACATCCCTGCCGGCCAAACCCTCCCCTACCCTGGACGGCGCTGGGCCAATTGTGCGCTGCCCTATGGGTCTCCCGGTTGCGGCGGCTGCAACAGAGCCTGGAATAACCAGGATCGCTAGTGACACAAGCTAGCACTGCGATGCAGAGCCTTAGCCACGCGCCATCGGAGCTATGGCAGTGGAGTTTGATTATTAGACTACAGCAGTGGAGTTTGATATGAGACTACAGCAGTGGAGTTTGATATGAGGACTACAGCAGTGGAGTTGATATGAGACTACAAGCAGTGGGATCGCTTTGATATGAGGACTACAGCAGCGGAGTTTGATATTGAGGACTACAGCAGATGGAGTTTGATATTAGATCCTACAGCAGTGGAGTTGATATTAGACTACAGCAAGTGGAGTTTGATAATTAAGACTACAGCAGTGGAGTTTGTATGCGCCTTACAGCAGTGGAGTTTGACTCTATGACGGGAAGTACAGAGTGAGTTTGATATTAAATTACTCAGCTACGTGGAGTTTGATATGAGTATACCAGCAGTGGAGTTTGATATGAGACTACAGCAGTGGAGTTTGAATGAGACTACCAGCAGTGGAGTTTGATATTAGAACTACAGCAGTTGGAGTTTTGATATGAGACTACGAAGGGGGTTTGAAAATTAGACTACAGCATGAAGTTCATTTGATATGAGAATACAAGCAGTGGAGTCTGATATTAGAAACAGCAGTGGAGTTTGAGATGAGACTGACAGCAGTGGAAGTTTGCATTATTCTTGAGACTACAGCAGGGAACGTTTGATTGACACAGGCAGTACTGAGTTTGATATGAGGACTAACAGCAGTGGAGTGGATATTAGACTAAGCAGTGGATGTTTGATTAAAACTAGCAGTGGAGTTGATATTAAACTCAGCATGTGAGTTTGATCCCCTTAAACTACAGCAGTGGGTTTTGATATTAGACTACAGCAGTGGGTTTGATATTAGACTTTACGGTCAGTGGAGTTTTTGATTTAGGGACTACCAGCAGTGGAGTGAGATTAGACTACAGCCAGTTTGGAGTTGGATATGAGACTTACCCGCAGTGGAGTTGATATGAGACTTACAGCATGTGGACGTTTGATATTAAAATTACCAGCATTGGAGTTTTGATATGAGACACAGCAGTCGGAGTTTGATATGACGACCTACAGCAGTGGAGTTTGACATATGATGACTACAGAGTGGACGTTCTGCTGGAGTTTGATATGAGACTACACAGTGGAGTTGACTATGAGATACAGCGTGGAGTTGATATGAGACTACAAGCAGTGGAGTCTGATATTATGAGACTACGCAGTGGGTTTTCGATCCTGAGACTACAGCAGGGGAGGCTTGATTTCGAGACTACAGCAGTGGAGTTGATATTAGATACAGCATGTGTTTTGAGTCCTTCGCTTTTAGACTACACCGCAGTGGAGTTTGATATGAGAATACAGCTAGTGGAATTTTGTGATATTTGGAGACTTACAGCAGTGGAGTTTGAGTATGAGACTACAGCAGTGGGAGTTGATTGACTACAGCAGTGGGAGTTTGATATTTAAAATACAGAGCAGTTGGAGTGTTGTATGAGACTACAGCCGTGGGTTTGATATGTAGACTACAGCAGCCTGGAGTTTGATCAGACTACAGCAGTGAGACGTTGATATGAGAATAAGCAGTGGAGTTTGATATGAGACTACAGACAGTGGGTTTGATATTAAAACTACAGCAGGTTCTGGAGTTTGATATGACGACTCCTTCTTACAGAAGGGAGTTGATATTTTAGACCAACAGCAGTGGAGTTGGACTTCCCTAGGGACTCTTTACAGCAGTGGAGTTTGATATTATAAACTACAGCGTGGAGTTTGATTATTATTAAACTAAGCAGTGGTCTACGGGTGTATATTAACACTAAGCAGTGGAGTGGAGTTTTGATATAGACGTACAGCAGTGTCGGAGTTGATATTAGACTACAAGCTTAGTGGAGTTTGATCAGTAGTGACTACTAGCCACGTGGAGTTTGATATTAGACTAAAGCAGTGGTAGTTTGAATATGAGACTACTACGCAGTGGAGTTTGATATGAACCTACAGAAGTGGAGTTCTGATATGACGGATCTACAGCCAAGTCGGCAGGCGCCTGAGTTGATATGGCGAATACAGCAGTGGAGTTGGATATGAGACTACCAGCCAGTGGACGTTGAATGGAGACTACAGCAAGTGGATGTTATGCATATGAGACTACAGCGTGGTAGTTTGTGATTTGAGACTACAGCAGTGGATGTTTTGATATTAGACTACCAGCATTGGGCGTTTGATATTAGACCCCTACAGCATGTGGAGTTTGATATTTAGTACTTACAGCAGTGGAGTTTGATATTATTTTTTCTGACTTACAGCAGTGGAGTTTTGTTATGCGAACTACAGATAGTGGAGTTGGACTTGAGACTTACAGCTGGTGGAGTTTGATATGAGCCATACAGCAGTGGATTTTTGTTTGATATGAGACTTACGCAGTGGAGTTTGATATGAGACTACGCCGTGGAGTTTACTCTGAGAATACAGCAGTGGAGTTTGATATGAGACTACAGCAGCTGGACCCGCTTTGATTTGGAGATAAATAGAGTGGAGTTTTGATATTAGCACTACAGCCAGTGGAGTTTGATATGAGACTACAGCTGTGGATGTTTGATCTTATCATTTGACTACAGCAGTGGGATGTTGTGACTTTATCCTATTTATTTACAGCCGTGGAGTTTGATATGAGACTACAGTAGTGGGAGTTGAGATGAGGATACAGCAGTGGCGCCACGTTTGATATTTAAAGACTACAGCAGTGGAGTGTGATATGAGACCCCTACAGCAGTGGAGTTTGATATGAGATTTTTACAGCAGTGGAGTTTTTTTTTTCCTTCCTGAATATGAGACTACAGACTTACGTGGCGTTTGATATGAGACAGCAGAAGTGGAGTTTTGATTTTAATTAGACTTTCACCCACAAAAAGCCAGTGGAGTTTGATATGGACTCAGGCAGGGACCCCCCCTCCCTTCCCCCCTCTCTTTTCTTTCTCCCCACTCCCCTATCCCCTCCCCCCCCCCCTCCCCCCCTTCCCCCCCCCCCCCCCCCCTTCCCCCCCTCCCACCTCTCCCCCCCCCTCCTCTTCCCCCCCCCTTTTCTCCCCTTTCTCTTTCCACCCCTTTTTTTTCTCCTCTCTTTTTTTTTTTTTCTTGCCTTCGTTGGATATGAGACACAAGCAGTGGACTTTGATATGAGACTCACAAGCAGTGCGAGTTTGATATGAGACTACAGCAGTGGAGTTTGGTGATATAGATTTTACAGCGTGGAGTTTGATACTTAAACACAGCAGTGGAGTCTGATATTCAAACTACAGCGTGGGGTTGATATTACCCAATTACAAGCAGTGGAGTTTTTTTGATATGAGACTACAGCGTGGAGTTTGATATCTAACTACCAGCAGTGGAGCTTGGATATTAGACTACAGCAGTGGAGTTTGATATTAGAATTAAAGCAGTGTGGAGTTTGATATGAGACTCACCCCCCAGCAGGTGGAGTTGATATGAGACTACAGCAGTGCGGTTGTCATATTAAACTACAGCAGTGGGTTTGATATTGATGGTCACTACAGACTATGTGACGTTTGATATGAGAACTACAGCAGTGGAGTTTGATATGAGACTACAGCAGTGAGGTTTGATATGAACTACAGCAGTGGAGTTTGATATGAGACTACAGCAGTGGAGGTTGATATGAGGGACTACAGCAGTGGAGTTGAGATATGAGACTACAGCAGTGGAGTTGATTTGAGACTACAAGCAGTGAGTTGATATGGAGGACTACAGCAGTGGAGTTTGATATGACTACAGCAGTGGGAGTTAGATTAAACTCAGCAGTGAGTGATATTAGACTACAAGCAGTGGAGTTGATATTAGACTTACAGCAGTGGAGTTTGATATTAGACTACGCAGTGGAGTTGATATTAGATACAGCAGGGGTGTCAAACTCATTTTAGCTCAGGGGCCACATGGAGGAAAATCTATTCCCAAGTGGGCCGGAACCGGAAAATCATGGTATATATAACTTAAAAACAACAACTTCAGATTGTTTTAATACGATCAACATACAACATAAAGCTGGAGCCTGAGGACGTGTGTCCAAAATAGTACAAGCACAACATCACTATTAATCATAAAACACGTCAAGTTTATTTGAAAATTCTAAAGAAAAAGAACACACAAACACACAATGCCTCAGTGATTAACAGAACTGTTTCACAGATCACATAACTATATCAGGGTGTCATTTCTCAGGCAGAAATGTAGATAAAAATAATGAAATCCTGTTCCCCAAACAAGTGCAAGAACCACAGAGTCAAGAATAGGTTAAATATACAAATAAAATAAATCAATTAAAAACATAGCACATCAACATAAAAACATATAAACATAAATCTGAAAGCGTTGCTCAAACTCCCGTAACAGTCCAGTTATTTTATCTTTGAACCGCTTCATGTCTGCCACATGTTGGGTCGCGCACACATTTTTCAGACAGGGGAAGTGAGCTGCATCACCACCGGCAAGTTGCGTCTCCCACAATGACAGCTTCAACTTGAAAGAACATATGCTGTCATAATACTGCGTGACAACTTTGTTGCGCCCTTGCAGCTGTTTGTTCAAGTTATTCAGGTGCTCTGTAACATCCACCATAAATGCAAGGTCCGGCATCCATTCTGCGGAATGAAATTCTAACACTGGTTTGCCCTTTTCTTCCATGAACTGTTCAATTTCTTCTCGTAAATCAAAGAAACGCCTCAGCACAGCACCTCGGCTTAACCATCTTACCTCAGTGTGGTATGGCAGGCCATAGATGTGGTCTTTCTCTCTGAGAAGGCTGTCAAACTGACGGTGATCAGGCTTCTGGATCGGATGAAATTAACAGTTTGGATGACCACCTTCATGACGTTATCCATCTTTAATGACTTGCAACACAAAGCCTCCTGGTGCAAAATACAGTGAAAAGTCAAAAAATCACGTCCTCCATTTGCAGATTGCACTTTCTCTCTGAACTTTGTCACAACGCCTGCTTTTTTCCCGATCATTGAGGGCGCACCATCTGTAGCCAGGCTGACAGCGCGGGACCAGTCCACTCCGACCCTGTCCAGCGCGCCGACGAGTGCGGTAAAAATATCAGCTGCTGTCGTTGTATCTGTCATCGGCACCAACTCCACGAACTCCTCGGTGACGGTCAATGTGTCATCAACTCCGCGGATGAAAAAATGGCCAGTTGTGCAACATCTGTAATGTCCGTGCTTTCATCAATTGCAACCGAAAACGCAATAAATGACTTTACTTTTTGCTTCAACTGGCTGTCCAAATCCACTGAAAGATCGGAAATCCTGTCTGCAACTGTGTTTCTTGTCAGGCTGATATTTGCAAAAGCCTGCCGCTTTTCAGGGCACACAATCTCCGCTGCCTTCATCATGCATGTTTTTACAAATTCACCCTCACTAAATGGTTTTGAAGCCACTGCGATTTCATTAGCAATGAGGTAGCTAGCTTTCACTGCAGCGTCACTGATGTCTCGGCTGTGAGTAAACACAGACTGCTGTTTCTTCAGACCCGCCAACAGTTCATTCACCTTCTCTCATCTCCGCTGTCCTTGAAAGTTGTCATATTTGTCGGCATGAAGACTCACATAGTGGCGACGAAGGTTATATTCTTTCAGCACTGCAACATGCTCTGAACACACCAAACATACAGCTTTCCCATTCAATTCCGTGATTAAATAGGATGACAATTTTTCTTGGAACACTGCACTCTGCGTCCACTTTTCTCTTTTTTGACAGAGACATATTGGGGCAATGAGGGTGCCAAAGCACATAATGTTAAAAGTAGAAGCCGTAATAAATATCGCGGGCAAAACAAAGTAGCTCATTGGCTGCACGTGCTTGACCTACTTGCTCTGCCCCGGTATAAACAGTTTGCTTGCTTAACACAATTGCTATTGCGCCATCCAGTGGACGCAATTGGAACAGCAGTTTACTTTATTGAAAAATTGCAGCACATTTTTATACTTAAAAAATATATATATCATCTCGCGGGCCGGATTAAACCCGTTTGCGGGCCTGATCCGGCCCGCGGGCCGTACGTTTGACACCCCTGGACTACAGCAGTGGAGTTTGATATTAGACTACAGCAGTGGAGTTTGATATTAGACTACAGCAGTGGAGTTTGATATGAGACTACAGCAGTGGAGTTTGATATGAGACTACAGCAGTGGAGTTTGATATGAGACTACAGCAGTGGAGTTTGATATGAGACTACAGCAGTGGAGTTTGATATTAGACTACAGCAGTGGAGTTTGATATTAGACTACAGCAGTGGAGTTTGATATGAGACTACAGCAGTGGAGTTTGATATGAGACTACAGCAGTGGAGTTTGATATTAGACTACAGCAGTGGAGTTTGATATTAGACTACAGCAGTGCTCTGATGTTGCAGATAATCCACCATTCCATGTTGAACAGGAGTTTCTGCTGCTTTTTCCAAAGACATTCTCTCTCGCTCTCTGTCTCGCTTGCTCGCTCTCTCTTGCTCTTTCTCGCTCTCTCTCCCCTCTCTCACTCTCTCTCTCTCCCCTCTCTCAATCTCTCTCTCTCTCTCTCCGCCTCTCTCAATCTCTCTCTCTCTCCGCCTCTCTCAATCTCTCTCTCTCTCTCCGCCTCTCTCAATCTCTCTCTCTCTCTCTCCGCCTCTCTCTCTCTGTAGGCTAAGGGACATGACACCTCTCAGCATGTGTTGGCATGTTTCGGCGGAGCAGGTGGGCAACACGCGTGTGCCATCGCACGAGCTTTAGGAATGAAGACCGTCTTCATACACAAGTGAGTCCTGTTGCCTGTGTACACATGTTTGTATGTCTGAGTAGTACGTGTGTGAGTTTAGTACACAGGTGTTTGTGTATTCCAAAGAGGGACAGGTGGAGAAGGAGAAAGTGGGGGTGAGCGAGAGAGGTTGGCATGAAAATGCTAGGCTTGTGTTTGGCCAGGGAAAACGGGTGCCTAGATGGTTCTTGGCTCCTTTCGCTATATCATTTGACAGTTTGATCCGTTACTGTACATTTTACATTGACATTTTAGTCATTTAGCAGACGCTCTTATCCAGAGCGACTTACAGTTAGGGCTTTCAGCTAGGTGGGACAACCTCAGTCATAGTAAGTACATTTTCCTCAATAAAGTAGCTATCAGCAAAGTCCGTGCTAATAGGGGGGAAAAGTCAAGTTCGAGTGTTAGTAGAATCTTATTCAAAATGATTCACAGCTGTAATGGCTGCTGAAGGTGCTTTCACCATGTATTTACTCTGGGGTGTAAAGACATACACAATGAAGACATCTTCATTTCTTTATTCTCTATAACTTTCTTTCACTTTGTAAATGTGGAGTAGGCATTTTATCTGTCTGAAAAGAAATCTAATTGAATCCCTTTTTAGATCAACATTTTAAGGGGTGTGTAGACTTTCACTAGGCACTGTGTATTATTGTGTTTAAGTTGGCGTTAAGTACATTTCCCATCTCTCACCCTTAGATGCAATTAGTGGTGAGCGATTCGTACTTTTTAAAGTCGGTTCGGTTTCGGTTTGATTAGAAAAAAATCACAGTTTTCGACTTCGGTTTCAGAATGATTTGATTTCTCTCTAGAGAAACAGCGCGTTGGGCTCACAAAAACCCAGAACTAAATGGAATTCAAGTAACTGAACCGACGTCGGTCAATTAGTTGTTTAATTACAACAACAACAAAAATAATTGGTTAATCGCTGAGCACTAGATGAAATAAAACTCCATGTTCTTCCTGCTTCACTTTGGGTGTTACACAAGTTTATTGAAAACTAAAATAGTACATCTCTCCATCTAACCCTCTCTCTGTCTCTCTCCCTCCCAGGTACAGTGGTGTGTTGTCGGCCTACGGCCTGGCGCTGGCTGACGTGGTGGAGGAGGTCCAAGAGCCGTGCTCTCTGCAGTACAACCCTCGCTCCTTCTCGGAGCTGGACTGCAGGGTGGACCAGCTGACCAAGCGCTGCACAGAGACCCTGAGAGACCGCGGCTTCAGCAGGTCAGACACAACACACATATGAGCACTCACACACACACAAACATTTACGCATGCACACACACACACACTCTTATCAATCGTCCGGGTTCTATAATTAAGCAATAAGACCCGAAGAGGTGTGGTATATGGCCAGTATACCACAGTTAAGGGCTGTTCTAATGCATGACGCAACGTGGAGTGCCTGGATACAGCCATTAGCCGTGGTATGTTGGCCATATACCACAAACCTCCGAGGTGCCTTATTGCTATTATAAACAGGTTACCAACGTAATTAAAACAGTAAAAAGTAATTTGGGTCATACCCATGGTATATGGTCTGATATACGACAGCGTTCAGCCAATCAGCATTGAGGGCTCAAACCACCCCGTTTATAATTAAGAATGAACTCATGCTTTCGTGTCTCTCTTTCTCTCTCAGCACTCAGATAACCACTGAGGTTTTCCTCCACCTGCGTTACGACAAAACAGACTGTGCTCTCATGGTGACAGCCACAGGTTACCCCGGCAACTCCCAGTCTTGTAAGTCTGGGGACTTCCGTAGTTCATTCACTAAGCGGTGAGCACATGAACCTTTCCCCTCACTCCATTATGTTCCTCCATAATAACAACCAATGATCTTACATCTACAATCAAGGGTAAAACCCTCGCACGGAGCCTTCATGTTACTTCTGTATCTCTAACTGCTCCCACCTGCCCCTCCCTCTCTCTCCTTCCCAGCTACCTGAAGGAGTTTGGCTTCACCATCCCCGACCGGCCAATCATGGTTGATGACGTCAGAGTCAGGGGCTCTGGGAAATCAGGAATCAAATCTGTGACCAACACCAAGATGGGATCTGGATTTCCCAAAGCCACTACGGTAAAGAGATTAGGATTTTGAGAGTCACAAATCATCACAAGCACGGTTTGCTTACTGTACTGCACATCTCAAAGTAATGTCACTTTTTTCACCTGTGTTTACGGGGCTGTAAACATATATATATATATATATATATACACAGTCTCTTTTATGTGAGTAACAAGTAGTATTACAGTATATTTGATGTATGGCTGCATTGGGATCCTCACAATGGACTCCATGTCAAATATATCCTCTCTTTTCCTTCCCTTAGATAACCAAGTGTTACTTTGAGGACGGTTACCTGGACACCAGTGTTTACCTATGGGAGGAGTTGCCATGTGACCACAATATCCCCGGTCCAGCCATCATCATAGACAAGAACAGGTGTGTGTTTCCCATGCCATATTACTTAAGCGTTTAAGTGTCAGGAGGGGTAAAAGGGCAAGGAGGATTTACAAATAATGACACTGCAAATACTAAATTCAGATTAGTTTTCAAGCCTAAAATAACCACTGAATTACATCCGTTGGTTTAGATAACGCTGGCATTCTATAGACCAAAGAGTCATTTCCTCTGTAAGTACTGTTTTAGACGGTGTCATTTGGTTGTTTCCTCCCAGCACCATCCTGGTGGAGCCCAGCTGTGTGGCCCATCTGACAGAAGGGGGTGATGTGTGCATCGCCGTGGGCTCCGACCCCCACTGCCTCCTGGGAACTGAACTCAACACTGTGCAGCTCTCCATCTTCTCCCATCGCTTCATGAGCATCGCAGGTCAGTTAGTACCCAGGGAGGAGGTACTGAAGGAGGGTAACAGGAAAGAGAAGGAGGATGGTGTGAAAACGGGTAGAGGATAACAGCTGGATAGCTGAGAGGGAAAAGGATGCGTGTGGAGGATGCAGAAGTATGAGGGGTAGGCAGGGTATTATCATGGAGAAAATCATTGCCATTTACCAAGTAACAGAAAGGTAACGAACTGAAAACGAGCAAACCACCACTGTAATTTCCCCCTGAAGTCTCTATTAAATGCCCCATGGTCTCATGCAACTACAGAACAGATGGGCAGAGTGCTCCAGAGAACCTCCATCTCCACCAACATCAAGGAGCGTCTGGACTTCTCCTGCGCTGTGTTTGGTCCTGACGGAGGCCTGGTGTCCAATGCACCACACATCCCTGTTCACCTGGGAGCCATGCAGGAGACCGTCCAGTACCAGGTCTGGACAGTCACTGCAAGCATGACAATTCACCGCTTTAACAATGTCTTCAGTCTGTAAAACATAATAAGCAAGTATTTGGAAAAGACGAGACATTGTTACACTAAGCAAGGAAGAGTATATTCTCATGTCTCTCTCTGTCCTTATTTATATCCTTGTCAACTACAGATCAAATCCATAGGGAGCACCATTAAAGAGGGTGATGTGATTCTGAGTAACCATCCATGTGCAGGAGGCAGTCACCTCCCTGACCTCACAGTCATCACTCCGGTGGGTTTCACTCATAATTGTCCCTAGAATCATGAATAAAGGTTGATACTCATGCTCTCACCCCCGTCCTCTCTATCATGATATCAATCGTGCTCTCTCGCCCTCCCAGGTGTTCAGGAGAGGTGTGAGCGGGCCAGTGTTCTTTGTGGCCAGTAGGGGGCACCATGCAGATATCGGAGGGATTACCCCGGGCTCCATGCCACCCAACTCCACCTCCCTGCAGCAGGAGGGGGCTGTCTTCACCTCCTTCAAACTGGTCACTGGTGGAGTTTTCCAGGAGGAGGGTGAGGAAACGCTACGGAGAGGAACCATTATGAAAGGGAGAGCCAATATGTTGTAATATCTGCTTGGCACTGGCAGCCATTGAGATATTATGTATTGTGTTATCAGTTGGCTGTATAATGTGTTGTACTCAGGAGATGTTGGTAGCAGAGTGACTTTCAGTGTAAATATATGGTTACAATAGGATCTGTGGAGCTTCACTAACACACCATGAGACTTGTCTGACTGGCTTAAATCCTAGGAATTCAAAGCACTCCAGGAATCTGTTTGTAATAACGTTTCCATGGCATTGTACTGATCTCACTCTCCCTGTCCCTGTCTCACTCTCCCTGTCTCACTCTCCCTGTCTCACTCTCCCTGTCTCACTCTCCCTGTCTCACTCTCCCTGTCTCACTCTCTCTGTCTCACTCTCTCTGTCTCACTCTCCCTGTCTCTCTCCCTGTCTCACTCTCTCTGTCTCACTCTCTCTGTCTCACTCTCCCTGTCTCACTCTCCCTGTCTCACTCTCCCTGTCTCACTCTCTCTGTCTCACTCTCCCTATCTCACTCTCCCTGTCTCCCTGTCTCACTCTCTCTGTCTCACTCTCCCTGTCTCCCTGTCTCACTCTCTCTGTCTCACTCTCCCTGTCTCACTCTCTCTTTCTTCTCCTTTATCAGCTGTAACTGAAGCCCTCATGGCTCCGGCTCAGTACCCAGACTGCTCTGGGACTCGCAATCTCCATGACAACCTGTCAGACCTGCGAGCTCAAGTGGCAGCCAATCAGCGAGGGAGCACGCTGGTAGGGGAGTTGATTGACAGCTATGGGCTGGCTGTGGTGCAGGCCTACATGGGATACATCCAGGTGAGGATGACATCACTGTGAGATGCTTGTTTCAGTTGGGCTGTATTGTATTAGCTTTATGTGTATTCTTAGGTCATATCACATTATAAATGGAGTGGTCAGCATTCCTGGTGAAGTGTTTGTCTTTGTGTAATCTGACCTGTGTGTGTTATTCCAGACCAATGCAGAGCTGGCTGTGAGAGACATGCTGAAAGAGTTTGCCCGTCGGCGGCGGCAACAGACAGGCTCCCTGGAGGTGAAGGCAGAGGACTTCATGGACGATGGAACACCAATCAGATTGCGGGTCCAGATTAAGGAGAACGAGGTGGGTGGAGATATAATACTACCCACCTAGCATGGCTGGGGTGCCAGATCTGTTTGTACTGGAGCCAACTCCTCTTGCTCTTTTGTGTTTGGCAGGCCTACAAACACGAGAGAAGTGTTGGTTAAAACAGACAGATCTGGCAACCAGGGTGCTACCCTCCATCAGGACTGGGCAGGAACTGCTGTTTATAATGTTCATCGACATTACTCCTCCTTTCTCTCATTCTCTATCCCTCCATCTCTCCATCGTCCCTCCCAGGGCAGTGCAGTGTTTGACTTCACAGGGACAGGGACGGAGGTGTGGGGGAACTGCAACGCCCCTCGTGCCATCACATTCTCTGCCCTCATCTACTGCCTGCGCTGCATGGTGGGCCAAGACATCCCCCTCAACCAGGTCCGACACGTTCACATTCTCAATTCACCACAGAACAAAGTCAGTAATGGGAAACATATGCTAGGACCTCCTCTGGTGGTTGATAATGGATACTGCAATGTTGAAGTTTGGGCTCAGTATACCAATAGCTGTACGTTTCTATTATATGGAAGATTTTTCATTTAGGTGATATGATCACTTCTAATGACATGTCTGCACTGAATTCAGAATGTGGCCACATTATAATTATAATAATATGTTATGAAAAGATATGTGATACAGTATGTCTCTATATGGAGAATGCACTAATTAAACCACTTTGTCTCTGTCTCTCAGGGCTGTCTCACTCCAATCAAAGTCATCATTCCCAGCGGCTCCATTCTCCAGCCTTCCCAGAATGCCGCTGTGGTGGGGGGGAATGTGCTGACGTCACAGCGGGTGGTTGATGTCATCTTCCGTGCCTTCGAGGTCTGCGCTGCCTCACAGGTAGGAGATATAGCTGCTAATGGAAAGTCCTGCCACAGTTACATAAGGAGCAATAGTTTGGATGTTTGAGTGTTACCAGCCCTCTTGTTTGTTCTCCCTCCATCTCTCTCTCTCACTCTCTCAGGGCTGCATGAACAATGTGACTTTCGGCAGCGAGGGGAACGGTTACTACGAGACTGTTGCCGGGGGAGCAGGGGCGGGGCCAGGCTGGACTGGGCGGAGCGGTGTCCACAGTCACATGACTAACACACGCATCACCGACCCAGAGATTCTGGAGAAGAGGTGGGGGGAGGAATTACGATAGAGGCTTTAACCTTCTACAATGAGAAAGCAAATGACTTAACATTCAGTAGTGGTTGTCTTTAACCTAGTCGGTTGTCTTTAACCTAGTCGGTTGTCTTTAACCTAGTTGGCTAGCAATCACATCTTCTTGTGTCCTGTTGAGCTGACTCCTCAGGCCCTCTCCTCCTCCTCCTCCTGATTCTCAGGTACCCTGTGGTTCTGGAGCACTTCTCCCTGCGGCCCGGCTCGGGGGGTGCAGGGGAGTACCGTGGGGGTGACGGGGTGATCCGGAAGCTCCTGTTCAGGAATAAGGTGGTCCTGTCAGTTCTGACAGAGAGGCGCTCCACCCGACCCTATGGTCTCCATGGTAATCTCTCACCTATGACCTCTCCCATGACCTTTATTAGTATCATAATGTCTGTGTAATTTTGATTGAGTAGCAGTCTGTTGTTTTGTACCGCCATGTCTTCTAGTCATAACATCTTCTATGGTTTGTTGTTCACTGTGATTCTCTCTCTCTCTCTCTCTCTCTCTCTCTCTCTCTCTCTCTCAGGGGGTGGCTGTGGGGCATCAGGCCTGAACCAGCTCCACAGAGCAGATGGAAGGGTTCTCAACCTGGGGGCCAAGACCACTGTGAGCCTGGAGCCTGGGGTAAGACTAGACCACAGTCATGGTATTATTTTTTTGGTATTATATTAGGATCCCCATTAGCTGTTGCAAAAGCAGCAGAGACTCTTCCTGGGTTCCACATGAAACATGACATAATATAGAACATGAATAGACAAGAACAGCTCAAGGACAGAGCTACATCAATAAAAAAATAATTTAAAAAAGGCACACGTAGCCTACATATCAATACATACACACACAAACTATCCAGGTCAAATAGGGGAGAGGCGTTGTGCCGTGAGGTGTTGCTTTATCTGTTTTTTTTAAACCAGGTTTGCTGTTCATTTGAGCAATATGAGATGGAACGGAGTTGCATGCAATAATGCCTCTATATAATACTGTACACATTCTTGAATTTGTTTTGGATTTGGGGACTATGAAAAGACCCCTGGTGGCATGTCTGGTGGGGTAAGTGTGTGTGTGTGTGTGTGTCAGGGCTGTGTGTAAGTTAACTATTCAAACCATTTGGGATTTTCAACACATTGACTGCATCACTTCTTTTTATAAGAAACAGTCTCTCCTCAACGCTTAGCCAAGAGAGACTGCCCCGCATAGTATTTATATCAGCCCTCTGATTACAATGAAGAGCAAGACGTGCCGCTCTGTTCTGGGCCAGCTGAAGCTTAACAAGGTCTTTCCTTGCAGCACTCGACCACACGACTGGACAATAATCAAGATAAGACAAAACTAGAGCCTTCCAGGACTTGCTTTTTGGAATGTGGTGTCAACAAAGCAGAGCATCTCTTTATTACGGACAGACCTCTCCGCATCTTTACAACCATTGAATCTATATGTTTTGACCATGACAGTTTACAATCTAAGGTAACGCCAAGTAATTTAGTCTCCTCAACTTGTTCAACAGCCACACCATTCATTACCAGATTCAGCTGTCTAGAACTTAGGGAATGATTTATACCAAATACAATGCCCTTAGTTTTAGAGATGTTCAGGACCAGTTTATTACTGGCCACCCATTCCAAAACAGACTGCAAGTCTTTGTTAAGGGTTTCAGTGACTTCATTAGCTGTGGTTGCTGGCTGTTGGAGTTTGTCTGTGTGTGGTACATCTGCATATGTATGTGCCTGTTGGTGTGGTGTACTGTCCAGTATGGGCCTGTTAGTGTTCTTGCATTGTACTAGTGTTTAGACTTGTCTTTTGTTCCGGGTGTGTGTTGATTACCCAACTGACCGTCTGTGTGTATCTGTGTTGACAGGATATGTTTTGCCTGTACACACCTGGCGGAGGTGGATATGGTGAGGAGGACAAGCAAACAGCTGGGGATGGAAGAATCTTTCAAAAGCGCAGGCGCTTGAACGACAACTTCTCTGAGAGGGGCAGTGTGTTTGAGTACCGCATGGCACAGGAGGGTGTGTGAGAATGGGGGACTGGCCAGTGTCACGAGAATTTCTCTCTCTAATAGTTAAACTCAACTGTTACTCAAGCTTTGAATAATTCCCAGAGGTTGTAAGACTAGTTAATAATGAATTAAACAAAGTCCCATTTCTGCAACGAATCAGTTTCTTTATTCATGAGCGCTCTCTCCCTAAAAACACACTCAGCCTTTTTATATGCGTTCACACAAAGGAATTTGCTCCGCCCACCTTTAGGCGGCCTGTGACTTTCCACAGTATAGAATGTTTAAGTTTAACCGTTTCTAGGTTTGTCTCCAGCAGTTTCTACCCCTCTTCTCTGTTAGTGGTTTTACTGTCTTATAACTCTAACACAGTTTATACAGTATCGGGGTGTAATACTTTAGTCATTTACTTTAAACATACAAATTCTTCTATCAGCCAGTGGTGGGGAGGGAAGAGACCTGGAAACACAGTTCCACATAGAACTCCAGTACAGTGTGTATGAAGACGATGAGTGAGAGGTGTGCTGAGAAACTCCGCCAAAGATGGAGACTGCGATGAAGGCTGGAGAGAGCATTTAAAATGGCAATGCAATCATGTACGTTTTTTTTTTTTTACGTTGGTTCAAATCTAATGACATGAACAATGCCTTTATTTCAGCAGTCTGGTCAACAACCCATACCATTAGTCAGAAACCACTAGTCGGGTTTTTTAAAGGATGCTAGCTTTGTATGTCCTTTACAGTACTTATGCACAGAGACAAACATGGAAAAAATTTCACCAGTAGGGGAGTTAAAGAAACAAGTTTAATCCTCTGAAGACAGTAGACCTTTAGGCCTAGATTCAATCAGGTCAAGCGTTACAATGGTTTGCATGTCAGGGTGACTGTATCAACAGTGGACTAATGAAACAAATACCAAAATATTGTTAAGTTGTATTTTCCTTTAAGCTTAGGCAACATTGTGTTTAAAAAGATATCTCTAGACATCTAGTCTACTGCCTCTCACCACAACTGATTTTAACCAGGATGTAAAACCAACACTAGATTATACAGTTGTATGGCTACAAGGGTGCTAACTAACTAGACTTGAAACATTACTCACTTCAGTTGTACGATCTTCAAATATGTAGAAGTTGAGGTGTAACGAAGAATAGCCGATCTGTGGATCAGATGTATACAGTAAATAGCTGCATTGGATTTGTTCAGTGGGGAACTTTGACATTCGTTCTATTATTATACAACTGTAGTTTGGAGAGTGATACATGCGGTTATTTTTTATGTGATACCAATTGAATACATTTAACTTCCAGTGAAAGCTTGCAATTTATTTATAAAAAGAAATGATGCCATTTAAAACATGAGGTTTTACAGTAGCAATGAGAGCACAGCCCTTACAACACAGGGAGCAGATCAATTGCATACTCTCTCCTCTTCTCAAAACCCATTGCTCATCCAATGAGTTGAGGCGGCGGCAAGGAGCGAGGATGCGAGAATGCAATTGAGATTCTCCCAGAGAACCAAAGGGAAGTAGTTCATCCAAATGCGCGCGCACACACACTTTTCAAGCCAAAATGACTGACCCATCTGGTTTGCTGTTATTGCACTGCCACCCTGTGTTCAGAGCACCACAACACCCAAATGTTACACAAAATAACCTGAGTCATGAAGGGTCCATGAGCTATGGGAATGAGGACAATAATTGCGCTCACAGGCCTCCGTTACAACACCAACCCCTGCATGGTGCCTAGGTTTACAGTATACCCTCAAACTTCTAAAATAATAAAGGCCAAACCAATCCCCAATATGAATTTCTGGGAGATCCAGCAGGAGGTGTGGGACAGAGAGGCAGGAGGGTTGGGGTGCGGTGGGGCTGAGCGGCAGGAGGATTGGGGTCGGGCTGAGCGGCAGGAGGGTTGGGGTGCGGTGGGGCTGAGCGGCAGGAGGATTGGGGTCGGGCTGAGCGGCAGGAGGGTTGGGGTGCGGTGGGGCTGAGAGGCAGGAGGGTTGGGGTGTGGTGGGGCTGAGAGGCAGGAGGGTTGGGGTGTGGTGGGGCTGAGCGGCAGGAGGATTGGGGTCGGGCTGAGCGGCAGGAGGGTTGGGGTGCGGTGGGGCTGAGCGGCAGGAGGATTGGGGTCTAGATGATAGGGGAAGGAAGAACTAGCAGAGGGGAGCGGGTGCAGGCATGCATGGAGACTAGATTGAGAGATAGTGAGCATTGCTGTTCCAGCAGCAGGTTGGTAGAGGGATGTAAATCGAATGTTAAAGAGTGGTTTGGGACCTTACAGCTGGTGCTGTGGACCACAGATCAAAGACAGGAAAATCACAATTCATTTGGTTAAAAATGTTGGTCACACCCAAAGAGCAAGTCTGCCTCTCTCTCCTTGTCAGAACTGAGCTCTCACCCACCCTGTATTGACTGATACATTGGTAGCTACAGCCCTGACTGACATAGTAAGGATATCTGCCTCTGCATCAGGAAAGACCACTCAATAATCGCCAGTTTTGTATACAATTAACCTGTTTAATGGCTCTTTTAAAAATGGGTGAAATAGATTCAATTGTAGACAATGACTCCAGTCTTTAGACTAGAAACTATCCTTCACAGTATACAAATAAGCCCTTTAGAGCTGACTGGGGGGATTGAAGCTCATCTTTTGTCAACTGCAGATAGACGGACAGTAAGATCCCATTGTCTTGTAACACTGGCACAGCTCTAAAGGACAAAGAATACAAGATATCTGACACTGAACGTTAACTCTGTACCAATTACAGACAACTAAACTCAAGTCAGGGACAAACACTTAATTTTGGTTGCACCATCTGAACAAACACTCCTAACCTCACTGGAGTAAGAGGGGGTGAGCCACTGGGCTCTAAAGCAATGAGACAAGTTGACCAACACACCACACAAAGACAAACAGCTCGCTCTTCACTTTGGTGAGGTTTAGAACACCTCACTTTGTTTTCCTACTTGAGGCTCTCTGCACTGGACTAGCACATTTGCAATGTTAAACAGCACCATGCCTCTTCCTACATTTACATTGTCAAAACCAAAAGTGAGAAGAAAAAAGTTTTCATACCCTGTAAAAGACATGTAAACGTTTTCAATAATGCCCTAACCTGGCTTTATGTGCAGTTTTACAATTCTGTACAAATACAACCATAAAAAAGACAGGAGGAAAAACACATTTTCAAAACATTGAATAGTCGAGGTAGGCAACATAAAATAATTCTTAAAAGAAAATATAACCTGACAATACAATAGTGCAAACAAATTCCTGTATTTACTGTATTAAGACTGAGGTAGATATTAGTGGTTATTTATTTGAGTTAGATGTTAGTAGTACATTTGAATTGACAATTGTCTTCTGTAAACATTTAATACTATGACCTGTCAATTAGAAATGACAGATTGATATGGTGGACACATTTCTGTCCATGAGTTAAATGTGTACGAATAGGTCAGTAGTATCCTTGCATTACACTTACAATATATTTGGTGCTGGTTTGATTTGACAGAGTCATAGTCAATAATGGGGATGACGCCTGAGAGGGGGTCCACTCTGCAGGGTATACTGACCAGCAGGCTGGTGAGACGACTGATTGGCCGGACCCAGCGCGTCAAACACACTCTTATTGGGCGGTACTGACTGGAGCATACTGTCCAGGTCCATAATGAGGGGAGGGCGTCCGCTGGGTAAGAGGGGCCAGTAGGCATGACCTACAAAATGGCTGGATGTGACAGGAGACCCCCCGTAGCCATATAGAGGCATCCCTAGTGGAATCAGAGGGCCCCCATTAAAACGCATGCTGGGCGGGGCCACGGCGTTGGGCGGTGTGTACTTGGCATACGAGGTGGGCAGCTCCCAGGGAGGGGCGGAGACTCTGCGGGCAGACTTGTGTGGAGGGGGTCTGCAGTCCTCGTAGCCATCTGATCCCGCCTCGCCCTCGGGCACCCGCTTCCCTCCCTGCGACGCGCCCCTCCAGTCCTCATCGGAGGAGGAGGAGGCGGAGCTGGCTGAGGCGCTGCGGATGGTGGAGGAGTAGCGAGGGTGTGGAGGAGGGGAGGGACGAGTGTGGGGCTCCACCCCCCAGCAGTCCCTGTCCCTGTCAGGCTCTCCTGCAGTGCTGGCCGGCCTCAGGCTGTGGAGGATGGAGTCAATGGCAAAGGACGAGTCCAGCTTGGGCCGGTACAGCTCCTCCTGAAGGGGGGAGAGTTGTCTGGTGGGCAAGGGGGGTAGAGCAGTGACAGGGGGGCCTGGGGGTTGAACAGTGACTGGTGGTGGTGGGGCCGGGGGCTCTGCGTCTGGCTTATGTTCGTGCCCATGCAGGATGTAAGGGGCAAGGTCCTGGGCGAAGATGGTCTCATCCTGGCGCGACACGGCAGTGTTCTGCCTCTTGAGGAGCTCCAGGGGCACCCGGCTCTCCTCCACGGCCCAGAAGTTGCCCTTCCCCTGAGGCTTCCCAGGATCCTTCAGTACCTACAGGGACCAGGAGTGACAGACAGCGGTGAGATCAAGAGTATAGCACAACCTGAAAACCAGTCAGACAGGATCTCCCCAGTTTCACAAAACTCAGAATTAGCTAGAATGATTTACTTCATCTAAAGTTTCACGAAGCACTGCAGTGGTCCTTGGTAGGCTACAAATAAAATGTATTATGTATTTATTTGGACAGTGAAGCTAAAACATAATTTAGCTCTATACTCCAGCATTTTAGATTTGAGATCAATAGTTTTATATACAGTATGAGGCGACAAAACGTCACCTTTTATTTGAGGGTATTTTAATACATCTTTTGTACTGTTTAGAAATAAAAAGCACTATGTATCGAGCATTTGGACAAATAGTCAAAGGTTTAGTATTTAGTCCCATATTCCAAGCACACAATGACTACATCAAGCTCGAGACTACAAACATGTTGGATGCATTTGCAGTTTAAAAAAATATATATGTTGTGCCCAATAGAAAAGAATGGTAAATAATGTATTGTGCGCACAAAAATCATGCCCCCGAAACATGCTAACCTCCCACCATTACCAATAACAGGGGAGGTTAGCATTTTGTTTTGGGGGTGGGGGTGTATGATATTTATGCCTCCCAACTTTCTCATTCATCATTATTTACAATTCATGGTAATCATGGTAGCATCTATTTAGAAGTGTTCAGAAACATATTCTTATTTACAATAAGTGACTCAAATGACAATACATGATTTACCATTCATTTCTATTGGTCACAACATAATCCGAAACAAACTGCAAATGCATCCAACAAGTTTCTAGAGTCACAAGCTTGATGAAGTCATTACATGCTAGGAATTTGGGATCAAATACTAACCTTTTGACTACTTTAATACACTAAGTAAATTTGTCCAAATACATGGCACCTTCAAATGGGGTACTAGATACTTACTTCAAATGCTTTCATTTCTAAGCGACAAAACAGGTATGAAAATATCCTCAAATAGAAGGTGACACTGTACTGTGGCCTTATATAAAACATTTTATATCAAATGCAAAATGCTGGAGTATAGAGCTAAATTAAAAGTTGTAGCTTCACTGTTTAAAGAAAAACAGAAGGGAATGTATACTTGCTTGTAGGTTGTTTGGATTCTAGAATCAAAAGTGCCTTTTTGAGCCCACTGATTGACATACCAATAAAGACCCCTAATAAGACATACCTTAACAAAGCAGTCATAGGAAGAAAGGTTGTGTCGCACTGAGTCCCGCCAGCCCTTGTAGTTCCCTTTGAAAAAAGGGAAAAGTGCACTGATCTCCTTCAGAATCTGAGAGAGAAGGAGTGAGGCAATTTACATCAATGGGAGTCTGTATTAAACAGACAAATTAACAGACTATATTAAGATACACAATTTAAAAACACCACATGATTGTAGGCATACAGTTTTAGACACATTTCACTCATTTACATTAATCATTCACTGTCATCATGCAGCATTTTCATAGGCCTAGAATAAATAACCTAAGATGTGCTGTAGGACTGATAGCCTGTACAGAGAGCAATCCTTGACTATGCTTCTTATCAACTCAACCCACTCCAGCTGATACATCTCAGTGTCTGCTTTCACTGTATGCTGCTATCCTTAACAAAACAAACCAAGAAAAGCATTGCAGTCACTGAAGTGTGGCAGAGGTTACTACTCTGTTAAGCGTCAAATGATTGTCCTGTCTGTTTAATGCAATTGAACTGCATATCCGTACCCAAACATACTTATTTTTTTTAATTGATGATAGAACATCCCCGATTAGAAATTAACTTTTAAAATAATAAAAACGCATATAAACTATGTGGAAACTTAAATATTATCTTAAAAATAACCATGATTAATAGCCAAAATTGACACACAACCATGCATAATTTGGCCTAAATTGACACAAATAACCATGCGTAATTTGGCCAAAATGTACCATTCTAAACTCTCATGTCCACACACAAACTCACTTTACCTCAGACAACGTAAGCTTCTTCTCTGGAGAGTTTTGGACGACCATGGCAATCATTGCGAGGTACGAGTAGGGTGGTTTGGGGTAGCGCTGATAGTTTTTTTTCTTTCCACCGTTGGCTTTTTTCTCCTCGTCCCAAGATTCCTCCTTGAACGGCCCATCTTTGTTGAGCTTGGGCGGCGGAGGGTAGGATGACCCGGGCCCTCCGTTGTGGTCTAGCGGCGTCGCTTTATCCATGGGGGCTGAGGCCAGGCTGAATTGGTAAGGGGAAGGCTTCTCAAGCCGTGGAGGCTGTCGGACTGGCGCCTGGATTGGGCAGTAGGGCCAGTGTTGGGCTGGAGAGCTCCGTGCTGTGTTGCTCAGAGGATGGATCTGGAAGTCAAGTTGATGGTCGTGGTGGCCTCCCAGGCTAGGAGAGCGCAGGTAGGAGAGAGCGGGTGCTGCCAGCAGGCTCTGACCCCCCCAGTGTTTTGTCATGCTGATCAACCTGGGGGCAGATCGGGCTGCACGGGGTCGATTGGAGGGGGAGGGAGTCGGCCCTTAACCTCTGGCAGACTGCTGGCTCCAGGCCGCTGGCTGGCTGCCTCTATTTGAAGAGCAAACAATTAACAGTTTCATGTAAATCCCGCTGTGTAATCGAGGAGAGAATGGAGCGCTATCTGTGGGCAGAATGACTGATCGCCCCGGGCGGCTAGGGAGGGTGTGTATGTGAGAAAGACAGTAAACCTGTAAATAACCCCTCGGACAAACATCAACATGCCACTTACCACACAGCGTTCCTTTTGGCAATCCGCTCCAAAACTTTCACGCATCAAGTGCGCACTGGAGTGAGCTTCTTATATGCGCACGAGAGTATCCAAATGTTTTTTTATTTGATATCATTCCACTGGAATGAATTGAATCATTAGCCCCCCTTACACACGGTGTTTGCGGTCATTATGAGAAAGATATCCCCCAACCCATTCGCTTAATTGTTAAAACTTGCTTACAGTAAGCACAGATTGTGATGTTCCAATGTCACTATATCAGTCGCCAACGTGCCCCATATAAAGGAGATAATTGAGAGAGGGGAGAAGTAGAATGAGTGGCCCTCAAAGCAGAGGGAAAAATAAACCAAGAGGTATTTTTGGTGAGGCTTCATTCAATCAACAATTTATGGCAAGCAATATAGATAGGACCGCTAATATACAACCATTGAGGGATTAATACCCTGGCCCACTAAAACACACGGAAGATAGACAAAATGGCAACTGAAAAGATTACCTCATTAAAAAATTGTGTTGCTGATTTGTTCATTGTGACAAATTGTCAACATCGGCCAAAATCTAATAGATCACCGTCTATAGTAACTGCACGATTAAGGTCCCGTATACCATATTTATTATAAGGAGAATATTATAATTTATAATCGAATTATTTAAATATGGTATATATTGCATAGTCGGAGAAAACAAACAGTAGAAAGACTAGGCACTGGCAGTAGCCTGCATGGTGTCCGTAGAATTAGGTTTGATGTTCGTACTCAAGAGCAAATAGAAACTTTTGAGAGTTCTCAAAAACCCAGGGACCTTGCAGGAGCGCACCGGGTTGGGGGTGTATTGCGCACAGTAGGAAGTCCCTTGAGAATATTCAGTACAAGTCCAACGTGAGAATAGTTTCGGGAATGTATTTATCTTTTGTGAAAGTTAATGTAGTGCTAATGTGGTGCTAATGCCCAAACTTCTCAGCAAGACAGTGAAAACAAGTTGGATTAGCCAGTGACCCCGTCTCGTTCCAGGGATTACTTACTACTATTCGGCATGTGAGGAAGACACAATGGATGATTGAACACCATCCATGTTCGCCAAGTAATGGGGACATTCGCACCTTGTAAATAAGAGCTATTATCTCGTTCCGATTTATGCACAGGTTCAATTTAAATATAGGCAATGCAGAAGCCGTTACATGCCACATTATTACGAAGGCTGTCTAACCAAGGGAAAGTTTCCCCAAAAGTCGCGGCCCTTGCAGAGCAAGGAAACAACTACTTCAATGTCTCAGAGGGAGTGACGTCACCGATTGAAACGCTACTAGTGCGCACCGCTAGTACACCGGTTACACATGTAGCCTACAATATATGAAAGTGGCAAAGGCGTTTTAGCCTATTGAGTCTCATGTAGCCTAGGCCTGAAGTTTTTTTTTTTTTTATGTCTACCATTATGTCTTCGATCTTACCGTGTAGAAATCGGCAGTCAAAGGTTTCAAATCAAATATTGGAGTGAAGATGATATCGAAAAGGTACAGGAGACCGTCGTGCATTCATGCTGTCCTCACCAGGTTGCAACCGGCTGGTACACGGTCTAATTGCTACAATGTGACCTCTCGTTTCCAATTAGTTGTAATCAACCAACTCTTCCTGCTTCCTATAATAATATATGAATTGTGTCCTATTATGAATTGTGTTTTGACACGCTTTCCATGCTAAACACAATTTCGCAGAACTATGAAACTAAATATGCTTGGTTAATTGGGTATTTATAGAATAACAATGTGATTTACTTTATAAAGACCAACAAATATTTTATTGTCTGCTGTTCAGAAACGTGTTAGGACATATGTATATTTGAGTAGAGACATGTTCAGGCCAAAATAGATACTTTAGTATTGCTCCCTGATGACTTTTAAAATGAGAAAATGAAGGATAGTAGATTATACAGTGCCCTACTTAATTATTGGTACAGTGAAGCATTTTTTCTTATTTTGGATCTATACTAGAAAAGTTTGGATTTGAAGTGATATAATGACTATGAGGTTAAAGTGCATACTGTCAGCTTTAATTTGATGGTATTTTCATCCATATCGCGTGAACCATTTAGAAATTACAACACTTTTTGTACATAGGCCCCCCATTTTAGGGGACCAAAAGTAGTGGGAGAAATTCACTTATATGTGTATTAAAGTAGTATAAAGTGTAGTATTTGGTTCCATATTCATGGATTGTGACACAAATATCATACCCCCAAGAGATGCTAACCTCTCACCATTACAATAACTGGGGAGGTTAGACACTGACTATCCCTTTGAGCATGGTGAAGTTATTAATTACACTTTGGATGGTGTATCAATACACCCAGTTGCCAGAAAGGAAGGAAACCACTCAGAGATTTCACCATGAGGCCAATGGTGACTTTAAAACAGTTACAGAGTTTAATGGCTGTGATAGTAGAAAACTGAGGATGGATCAACAACATTGTACTTACTCCACAATACTTACCTAATTGACAGAGTGAAAGGAAGGAAGTCTGTACACAATAAAACATATTCCAAAACATGCATCCTGTTTGCAACAAGAAACTAAAGTAATACTGCAAAAAATGTGTCAAAGCAATTAACTTTTTGTCCTGAATACAAACTGTTATGTTTGGGGCAAATAAAGGGAATGGGGCTAAGCACAGGCAAAATCCTAGAGGAAAACCTGCTTCAGTCTGCCTTTCACCAGATGAATTCACCTTTCAGCAGGACAATAACCTAAAATACAAGGCAATCTAAACTGGAGTTGCTTATGAAGAAGAAAGTGAATGTTCCTGAGTGGCCAGTTTTGACTTAAATCTGTTTGAAAATATATGGCAAGACCTGAAAATGGTTGTCTAGCAATGATCAACAACCAATTTGACAGAGCTTGAAGGATTTTGAAAAAAATAATGGGCAGTTGCACAATCCAGGTATGGAAAGCTTTTAGAGACTTACCCAGAAAGACTCACAGCTGTTATCGCTGCCAAATATTATTCTAACATGTGTTGACTCAGGGGGTAAGGAGGTTGAATTTATTTAATGAAGATATATTAATGTTTTATTTTTCATACATTTTTTTTACAAATGTTATAATTTTTCTTACACTTTGAGATGAGTATTTTGTAAAGTTAGATGACAAAAAATGAAAATTAAATCATTTGAATCCCACTTTGTGACACAACAAAATGTGGAAAAAGTAAAGGGGTGTGAATAGTTTCTGAAGCCACTGTAATCCTTCTCTGAGATACTCCCCGATACTGAGATGGACTGAAGAGAGTAGGTTTAGTCCTGCTGGGAGAGAGGAGTTGCTGTCTTTGTCCCCCTGAAGCTTTCCAATAAGGGACAAATTCCATGTCTGAATCATCTGCAGACCTTTCAAAGACATTCTCAGTCAGGATGCACAATCCTCTGGTTTGGATAAGACTAAGACAAAGCCTTTAGTTTGAGAAACAGAAATGGAGGGCACTGCACAGCATGGATGATCCACATGAACAATAACCTTGCAATCCCAACATCCTATTTAAGTTATCTTGAATCGGTACACATCATGAGATAATGGCAAACCTTTCTTTTCCTGAGCCTCCTCTAGACAATGTTGCCTCAACAAGCACAGTCAATAAAATATAATTTCCCCACCGATCACAGAAAAATTGAGAAAACACAGGCATATCATGATTCAGGATGCATCATTCCTAAAGTGAAAACAACAAGAGAAGCATCCCATTTTCTGTGTCCAAACCTCTGCCGAATGTTACTCCAGTGTTGACCAGGGAGGTCAGCAGAGGTCAACAGATTACTGAGTCATCATTGTCTCTGGGTCTCAGCAGCAGATCGTCCTGGCCTGGGAGTTTTCCCAGGATTATCTATCAGTCCAACCAACCCGAGCAGTCAGTGTACCCGTCACATACACAGAATAGGCCTACTACATTTTAAACAGGTGTCAGGTCAAATCTAGCCCATGTTAGCTAGATCTCTTCAGACGTGTTATCTTCATTCTCTGATAGATACAATACCCTCCCCTTTTACTATTGTAAAAGATAACACACCTATATATATATTCTATGAAGCATGAGAAGGGGTGGACTACAGTATTTTTCATACAGCTGTTCTTTTGAATGATTTTAGAGGGAGATGTCGAAAATGTGAGACTAAGTTTAGGTAGCTAGGATTTTGTTGTCAAATAGTTTGGTGAAGGTCATTATACAGTACAGTTACAGTTGATATGCACATAATAAACATAATAAAAATTGCACTAGGTTTACAGTATTTTAATTTATAGGGTTGGCTCTGAACAATGTCGCCCTCTAGTGGGCACCTTTCAATGACAGCGCAGGGAAAATGGCGGAAGCGGATGTTATGTTTGAATCAGATGGCGTGTCGAGTGAAGATGAGTGTGAATAATTGGATTACAGTGGAAAATGCAAAAGGAAATAAGATAAGTAAATTGCTAGTGGACTCTAGTAAATCCAAGGCTAGTTATTTAAAAAATGTTTGGGCGGAGTAAAGGTTTTGGATCGATGTTGTTACCTGGGAGATCCGATTGAAGTCTATAGAAATGTTGGATGAGGTGGCGTCGATGAGAGCAACGAGAAGTGGGTTTATTTTGGTGGCGTCGAGGGTAACGAGAAGTGGGATTATTTTGGTGGCGTCGAGGGTAACGAGAAGTGGGATTATTTTGGTGGCGTCGAGAGTAACGAGAAGTGGGT